AGTACGCAACAGGTAGAGTCAGACAGAGGATCTCTGAGTCCTAGGCCAGTCTGTTCTATAAAGTGAATTCCAGGAGAGCTGAGGCTGCACAGAGAAACCCTGTTTTGAGAAGCAAGAAATGAAAACAAACAAACAATGTATTAGGTCTCACTTCTTGAACAGGTAATGTCACAGCTCTTAAAATATCTGGGGACTGCTCGTATGCTGCATGACAGAGCGCTCACCCAGCAAGTGTAAGGTCCTCCTCAGTCAATGACCACTTGCAGTGGTGCTTCCTGCTTCAATGATGCTCATAGCACATTAGTCAGGTAAGAGTTTTTCTCCCTGATACTCCAACCAAGGACCATTCATGGATGTAACCTAGAGCCCCTGCTCAGATGCAGCCCATGGTAGCTCAGTATCCAAGTGGATGCCCTAGTAAGGGGAACAGGGACTGTCTCTGATATGAACTTAGTTCCTGGCTCTTTGATCACCTCCCCCTGAGGGGAAAGCAGCCTTGCCAGGCCACAGGGAAGAGGATGCAGCTAGTTCTGATGAGACTGGATAAGCTAGGGTCAGATGGAAGGGGAGGAGGACCTCCCTTATCTGTGGACTTGGAGAGGGGAATAGGAGGAAATCAGGGAGGGAAGATGGGATTTGGAGGGGAGGAGGAAGGGGGCTACAGCTGGGATACAAAGTAAATAAACTGTAATTAATATAAAAAAATAAAAATTTTAAGTAAAAAGAGTTTGTCTCCCTCTCCACATTACAGAATTAAAAGCATTCAATAACATTCTGCTACAGAAACAAAGATATTTGAAATCTGTAGCTGTAGGTACAGTTAAATTTAACCCATCTTTTCTGTTATTCTAGTCCAAATAGAGAACATTAACACGTATTGGCAAGAGTAGAGATGAGCCACCTTTTAAGAGAACTAAATTAGGTCATAAATGAGTTCTTCAATTTCATCTTCCAAGATAAAGTACCTATAACGTCTTTTATTCTGACAATAAAATTTAATTTATCTGACTAGGTTCTTTGATGAATCACAATTTGACCATTTAAAGAAGATTTCCTGATCTAATTAAATCGTTTCATTGAAATTCAAAACAAGCATGATGGTGGAGATGTAAAGATGCTTTGTACTTCCTCTGTGGCCTAGCAGGGCTGCTCCTCCCTTAGGGGGTGGGGGGTGAGTTCATGTCAGAAATAGTCCCTGTTCCCCTTACTAGGGTACCCACTTGGATACTGAGCTACCATGGGCTACATCCGAGCAGGAGTTCTAGGTTATATCCACGAATGGTCCTTGGTTGAAGAAACAGTCTCATAAAAGACCCCTGGGCCCAGATATATTTGGTCCTTGTGGAGCTCCGGTCCTCTCCAGGTCATATTAACTCCCCTTTCTTTCTTATGATTTCCTGGACTCTGAAGAAGGTTTGGTTGTGAGTCTAAATATTTGCTTTGATACACTGCTAGGTAGAGTCTTTCAGAGGCCCTCTGGGGTACGCTCCTGTCTTATTACTTGTTTTCTCCTACATCCAATGTCCATCCCATTTGTCTTTCTAAGTGAGGATTGATCATCTTACCCTGGGTCCTCTTTCTTGTTTATCTTCTTTAGGTGTATAGATTTTAGTACGTTTATCCTATCTTATAGGTCTAAATAAGTGAGTATATACCATGTGTGTCTTTCTGCTTTTGGGATACCTCACACAGGATGATCTTTTCAAGGTCCTATTTGCCTGCAAATTTCATGATTTCCTTCTTTGCAGCCAGTCTTGAAGATACCTGATAAATCAGGGGAGGAGGTCCTCCCATATTAGTGGACTTGGAAAGGGGCAGGGAGGAGATGAGGGGATAGAGGGTGGGATTGGGAGGGAATGAGAGAGTGAGATACAGCTGGGATACAAAGTTAATAAACTGTAACTAATATTGAAAAAAATTTAAAAAAAGGGATGTTTGTGCCCCGCCATGTTATAGGGAGACAAGCCCCTCAGTACAGCAGCCTTCCTTCTCTTGATAGGAGGACTGATCATTTTACAAACAAGAAAACTGAGGCTCAGAGTTCAGATGTGTGTCCCAGATTGTCACCTCTGCCAACTGGCCTTCCAGGGCCTTGTTCCTTCCACTGCTCTTTCCCATGCCCCACCCAAACCCAACTCAGCAAAGGCAGGAAAATGGAAGCCTGTCCTTGCAAACTGCTGTCTGCCTCAGGGACACCCACTTCCCAGAGAGCTCCTTGGGAGACTTTCCAAGTACAGCTTTTGTTTATTCCTGAAAACAAACAAGCGCTGTGTACTTCGTGTTCAGAACCCAGGGACACAATAAAAAAAAAAAAAAAAAAGCAAATGGTGGCTTTGTATGAGGATATGCAGAAGTGTGGTAGATTCGATGGGCCGTTTAAAATAAAATTGGCCATGGACTCTGTGCTATTATCAGAGACGTCTCCAGTAAACTTCCTTATCTTCCCAAATTTATTGCCTCATATGCAAAATTAGGATAAATTATGTGCGGAGGGCAGGATTGTGTAAGTGTGGACAGAGGAGTAAAGAAAGATAGAAAGATGGTGCGGAGGCCTTTGAGATGGCTCCACCGAGTGAAAGCACTTGCTGCTAAACCTGATAACCTTAGTTTGATCCCCTTGCCCCACCCGGTGGAGTGTGAGAACTGACCCCTATACATCGCCCTTCTCTGACAGTTCAAGTTTTACCTTTGCAGGCCTGGGGGGAGGGGCAGTGATAAAAATGAAAAGAAAGAGATGAAACGACCTAGAATCCGAGGGCATACAGCAGGCTCTGAGTGTGTCGGGGTTCACAACGCCCCGCACTCACCTGTCTACTCACTAAGTGTCAAGCCTAATCCCTCAGCTGGATGACCTAATGGGAATGCGCACTTGGATGGAGAAGCACACACAGAATCACACCCCTTCCCTAAGGCCCTAGACCACATGAAAGAGACACTACGGGATTATATATTTGGACCTGGAAACGCTTGAGCTCCAGTGTCCCCGAGCTGCATACTTTGGCGTTCCTCCCAAGGCTCTAAGGATGCCTGCACAGTGCTGCATCCCAACTAGAAACGAAGGCAGTGTTCAGCACGCTCGCCCGTCTGCCCATCCCTGCGTTATCCTCTGTAAGCTCATGGCACAGTGTACTTCCCACGCTCCCTGTATCACATTGTAATTTCTGGTTTGCTTGTCGGATTTGTCAAGCAAATTATGAACCCTCCAACCATGCGAGTCAATGCTGGTCCCACATTCAAACCCAAAGCCGTCTCTATGTCAGTGTGTGAATGAAAAAGAAGAAAATCAGCTTAAGGGATTGATGTTCTCCACGCCCTCCTTCCAAACCCAAGACTGCACCCTCCCCAGTTTCTTTCACAAGGAAGAAGTGTCTCTATTTTCAGCATTTAGGCCACATAGGCTTCTGTTCAGGATGTCCCTCAGCACAGTACCCCACTCAATGAGCTGTGCTTCGAAACAGCGTCTGGAGCTCCGAGACCAGTGGTGGTGGTACAGCCAGGGATCTAGCACGGTCCCTTCTTGGAGAGGCTGAGAGGATAAAGCGAGCTTGGATAAAGACTCTGATCTTCAGAGAGACCACTAACCAGGAGCCAAAATATTTCTGGATCAGTAACTATACCCTATGATCAACTTGACTTCCTAAAAATTATGATGTGGTTTTAGGACGTGGTACACAGAGTACATCCAATAAATATTTGCTGGATAAGGGAGTGAAGGAGACAGGGTGAGAGTTTGGGTGAAGTTTGATTGACCCTAGGTGATGCTCAGGGTTAGAAGCAGCCAAAGCTGACAAAGCCTTCCTGTGTTGAGGCTGAGTTAGGGCACCTGCTGGGATGATAGTACCTTGGAGAGTTCGCTATCATTCCAGACGTCCTGCTGGGAGCAGGTGATGGAACAGTGTGTGTGTATATGTGTGTGTGTGTGTGTGTGTGTGTGTGTGTGTGTGTGTAGAGGAGGAGCAGGGTTCTTTGATTCTACGGCAAAGTACGTTCCAGGCATCTTCAAAGAGTTCTTGAGGGCAAAGGCTGGCTACCTAACCTTCCAAAACTACCAGCTGCCAGAACACTTCCTGCTTCTAAAGTATATTTGGCCAAAGCATAAACTGCCAATACCTATTACCTATAATCCGCGTTACTGATGCTCAGAATTTCTCTGGCCTTAGATTTGTCTGCCTGGCTGGTTTCTACACTTGTGGAAAGGGGTCGCTTCTGCAGACTTCCTTAGGTGTGGGCATGCAGTTGGTGTGGAGGCAGCACGTGGGCTTTAACCATCGTCGCTGTTGTTTTCAGTCGGTAACGCTGTGTATGGTATTTCTGGGAAAGTCAGTGTGGCTCGGAAGAGAAGGGAACAGCCTTCCTCCTATTTGGAATTCTCTAGTCAGCCCTCACACGTTTGCCTGCCTGCCATTTTTTCCTAAGGAGAAAGCTACAGAAATAAGACAAAAAGGGAAGCCATCACAGAACCCAGCTAAAATATGGTCTATATTTGATGCTAAAGATAAATGCATATCCAAATGACGCGAGGAGCTAGCCCTAACAGCTTCTCACTGATCCTCTCTGCTGGCCAGGGGCACCTCAGCCTGGGGAATTAAAGGTCAACTTTTCGTGGTACCAACTCTGACCTTAAAAAGTTAATTCTCTAGGGTGAAATACAGGAAAGAAGAGTGGAGGCCTCCCCGACCCTCGCACACCCATCCCAGCGAGAGCCTTCATTCTTTTTACTCAGAGGATTAATTTAGATGCGGCTGGGTAAGGATGCTAAGAAGCGCCCATCACTTCCTCGCTCTTCGGGTTGACTCAGTCTCGCAGTGACCTCCTCTAAGGACATTGTGACAAGAGGAGAAAGGTCGTGACACTCCCAGGTCTAGTCAGACAGTCGCAGAGGCTCAGCACAGGAGCGCCCCCCGCAGAGCCCACTGTTAGCCAATGAGACACTGAAGTTTCCAGATGGTGAGATACGGGATTGCTGCTAGGCCAATCAGGCGCCAGGCGCGGTCGGGGGAGGAGATGCGAGGAGAAGCCTGGGGCGATGGAGACACCGAGCCATCAGCAGAAGTTTCTCACCTTGGAACGTGAGGGACGCTCCTGCACCTCCAGCGCGTACGCACCTCTGCGCGAGAGGACCTCAGGCTACTTTCTCCACTTCATCTTCCTGGGGCCTGGAGGACTGCTGGTAGTCTCTGTCCTTGCTGCCCTTTTTAATGTTACCTTCCAAGAGAGAGAGAGCAAGGAACAATTGGGTGCTAGGAAACTGACCACAGGCCCTGCGGGCCTCTGGAGAGAGGGGACAGAAGAGGAGTGGCCGAGCCTGGGGGACTCCATGCGTGGGCCATGGACAGAGCGGCGCTCCTGGCCCTGCCCAGCCTGTGCGCGCTCTGGGCAGCCGTGCTCTCGCTGCTCCCCTGCGGAACCCAGGGCAACTGGATGTGAGTATGGGCGCTGCGGAGGCAGGTAGGGTAGGTGGTCGAAGGGATGACCCGGGCCGGGGGGGGGGGGGGGCCCTTCCAGGGGGGGCGGGGGGGGGGGGGCGGGGACCCTGGGACCGCTGGTCTCACGGGTCTACGGTAGGGGGGCGCAGGGGAGGGCAGGGGAGCGGCTTACCGCAGGGGCGCCGCGTCTTACAGGTGGTTAGGCATCGCCTCCTTCGGGGTACCGGAGAAACTGGGCTGCGCCGGCTTGCCGCTGAACAGCCGCCAGAAGGAGCTGTGCAAGAGGAAACCGTACCTGCTCCCTAGCATCCGCGAAGGAGCCCGGCTGGGCATTCAGGAGTGCAGGAGCCAGTTCCGACACGAGAGGTGGAACTGTATGGTCGCCGCTGCCACCTCGGCCCCGCTCGGCACCGGCCCCCTCTTTGGCTATGAGCTGAGTAGCGGTGAGTCAGCGGGACCCCGGGGGATGGCGGGACAGACGAGCGACAACTTTTCTGCCAGTGCCTTCGATGAGACTGAATAGCGCCTGCACCCTTCGGTGCTCGCGAGACCTTCAAATAGGACTTTTGGTGCGGTGGAGAGTGGGTCGGCAGGGGCCAGAGCCCAGCGTGCAGGTGTGGCCCTCGAGAGGGACGTCCCACATCTACCGAGGGGCGCTTAGAAGGGCTGCGGTTCTCCCTCCCTCCCGCGGCCCCTGCCAAAGTTGCAGAGAAACCACGAGGCTCCACCCCATCGACCCCTAGGACCCCGTGCCGGCCCGCTCCGTGGGTGACCAGCTGGACAAACATGAGGTCTGCAGCCGGGAATGCTGCTGCCGCATCTGCTTTGATTTAAGCAGCTCTGTGGCGCCCAGAGCCGCAGACAAGTGCCTAATTGAAGCACAGTCTTATTGACTCCTGGGAACACCAGGTTTAGTGCACAATGGTGATTTTTAAAAGGATTGTCACCTGAGCGCGACTTCTTTTGCGTCCCCCCAGCTGCCTGTTCCTTCTACCTCTCCATGACTGGGCTCGCTTTCCGCGGGACATCAAAGCGCAGTGAGAAAAAAAAAAAAAAAGTTCTTCCACGTGCGTGGTGACTTAGCGAGGATGATGGTACTCGAAGCTAGGATGCTTTCTGGGATATTAGCAGTCAGAGAGTTTTAGGCCCGAGGCATTGAGAGATGCGCTGTCGTTTTTAAAGATCGTTTCCGTTCCTGTTTCACCCTTGACCCTTCCCCACTCAGTTTCTGCACGCGCCTCACCAGAGCTCTGTGTACCCAGTTCTGAGTTTTGGCAAGCTCTGCTGAAGGATCCCTGAGCTGGGGGTTGGGGTAAGATCCTGGAGGAGAAAGAAAGAAAATTAAGAAAAGAGAAAATTGACGTGTCTTAAAGAGTTTCTGAGATGCAAAAGCGTTCGCTGCCGAAAAGGTTTATTGGACAACGGGTGTGAAGCTGTTTCTATTCCAATTTAAACATCTGCAAAGAAAAAAAACGTTGCCTGCTGAGTCCTTTCTAGTCTATTTTATGAATGTCTTAATGGAACTTTGATTTCAAAGATTTTTAACTCCAACTCTACTGAAGCAGTGCAAAATGCAACTGTTTCAAAATAGTGTACTTTCCCACAACAATTCGATTTTTTGCAAGTTTTCAATTATCTTGTTTTCATTACTTTTGTGACTATAAGACCAGCTGTACTGCATAAAATGTTAACTGCTTAATGTCAGTGATTGTTACCGATTGATTACATTCTCCCGTTCTAAAGTCTTATCTTTGCTGTGAAAGAAAATGAATATTTATCTGCCAGTTGTCTTGATTTTTGCTGATTTCAGTTTGCATTCTGACGCATAGCATCTATTCAAAGAAAAAAACCACACCAAAAATTTCCACTTGTGTTTTGTGAATGCAGCACACTTTGAAAAAGGATGAGGAATCTGTTTCCGTTTCAGTTTCCATTTACATTGTCCATGCAAAAGATTTACATTCAACAAGTACTAATGAGCTACTCCTATTTATGAAACACTAAGGTAGGTCCTAGTGAGGGGGACAGATTTTACAGACAAGCACGAGTGTAATATATGAGGAGAGTGGGTGACAAAATGGCATCGAATCCTGAAAATTATCATGCTGCTCTTTTTTAAAGTTTAGAATAGTAGATTTCCTTTCCAAATATTCACGCATTACAGCATCCATTGTGAACACCTGAAAGACTGATTGCCTCACAAGAAAACAAATAAGAGGCTTAGGACTGAATTTCAGCAGAAAATGACGGCTCTGTGATTTATCGATGTTTTCTTCCTAGGCACCAAGGAGACAGCATTCATTTATGCCATCATGGCTGCAGGCCTGGTGCACTCAGTAACGAGGTCATGCAGTGCGGGAAACATGACAGAGTGTTCCTGTGACACCACCTTGCAGAATGGTGGCTCGGCCAGTGAAGGCTGGCACTGGGGAGGATGCTCGGATGATGTCCAGTACGGCATGTGGTTCAGCAGAAAGTTTCTAGATCTCCCCATCAGCAACACCACGGGAAAGGAGAGCACAGTGCTGCTAGCCATGAATCTTCACAACAACGAGGCAGGACGGCAGGTATGTATGAGAGCCCTGATTAAGACCTTAGTGCCATTGGGTAAATAATACTTGGCTTATGCTTCTGGGCAAGTCCACGCCAAAAACTTAAAAGCCAGACACTGGCGGGATAAGCAATAAATAGGCACATATCCCTTCATGCGTGTGTATTGACTCTGTTGGCTTAGTTTAGGCAAATACCAGCTGGTAAGCATTGAATTCTGCAATAGTGTGTTACTGTTGGTACACTTCACATACTGAAAGATTACTAATTAAAAGATATACAAGGTCCTGTTTTTTCATTGGTTACTCACTAACCTGCTTCCTGGCATTTCCAGAATGGGATTTACAGTGTTTATCATTTATTGGGCTGAATCAAGTGTTATCCCCACCGTTTGAATTTTGATTATTGTTTTAAATCTACTGTTTGGTAGCCAGTGACTCTTCAACATGTCAGTTTGCTGTCAGGTTTATCTTATTTTCTCCAGTAAGATTCCTTAGGGAATATGCAACCGCTATATTTTTTGTGAAGCAAGTTTTTTTTGTGTGTGTGTGGAAAATTGTTAATTGTATAAAATAACTTAGTTTCAATTAAAACTCATAAAAGAATATGAATATAAAGCTATGACTATATTAAAAGTAAAGAAGGACATTTTAAAACATAGCTATATTAAATATACGTTGAGGAGAGCTGAATGCAAGGACCTAGCACCTAGTGAACTCCTTTATATAAATTCTGGTTTTAAAAATTGTTTTCTTAAAAAGAAATGTGTTTAGCTTACTTAGTTTTTATATATTTACATTACTGCCTATCCATACAATAAACTTTGGATTCTACAACACTGTTGAATTGTTTGGCAATTCACCGTAACTTTGCTAAAAGACTGTAACATTTTTATGCATACATATTTTCTGTGTCACAGTAAACTTTTCAAGGCAGCCATATTGGCATATATTGTATATTATTTTGAATTTCCAATTACCTGTCAAGGTCCCAAATGTGGTTACTGCAATCTGCCACATCCTCCTGAAGCCAATTCAGACAAGTTGCAGCATCTCTTAGGAATAGTTAAAGTATATGTTGCATTTGTTTTTTACATTTTTGGCAAGTGAATAATGGGCCTCATTCACAATGCTTGGAATATCCAGCCAGCTTTCTTTATTTAACGGCCTTCGTTTAAAATACAAAAAACTAGAAGACTCAGTAAAACTTTACCATAACTTCTAAAGTTTATATTTACAGTTTCCATTTCATTTGACTATACAATTTAAAAAGGCAAGATAGCAAACAAGAAAATCAATAAATAGGTTATGCAAGTTTTCCATTGTTTTATTTAGGAGCTTCAGAAAAGTTATTTTATGTTGTTCTTGTTCAGCACTGCACTTAGCTATATGCCTTTTTCTCTTACGGTTTTTCATTGTGAAAAGAAGAATAAGAAGTTGATTGAATTTAAATAAAGGAAAATGTATTATTTCTAACATATCAATATGAAAGAAGTAAAATGCAATTAACATATTTTTTAAGCTCTAGCATTATGTTCAAGAAAAACATCAAGGCATATCAATCACTACATTTAAAGGTTGATAAATCAATTACATAAGTATTTATTATTAGCAGTCTTTAAATAGTTTGATAGGTGATTTAATATATCCAAAAAAAAAAAGACAAAACTAAGAAGCTCATCTTATGATTAACTCTTAGATAATGACATTGAAACATTTGTATTAAGTAAATTAGTTTTATTAATAACATTCAGTTTTATTTCATCATATGTATTAGCAATTGCAAATTAAGTAGCAATATTTGACCCTATCATTGTTAATATTGGTCTTAAACTGTTATTTACATTTTTATTTTGTTCAGCATCAATTTCAATATTCACTGTTAGCTAGGAAAAAACTCCATTTCTGCATATCACATAGATCTTTGCTGTTTTTCTGTACTGGCGAAGAGCAATTCAGCACACACAGAGGAACACATGTTGTGCAGATTTGGTGCCCTTACTGAATCTTTTTTTTTTTTTCTCACATCATTCTAGATGGGATCCTAAAATATTACAAAACATTTACCTGGTTATTTTGAGGGTAATACATGGGTGTTTTTGTTGGTCATTTCTCAAGAGGTATTTATAATTTAAAATATTTTTGTATTTTTTCTTTCCACCGGTAGCTTAAAAAAAAAAGTCTAAACAAACAAAAAGTAGGTTTCTCCAACATGGACAAGAAACTGACTCAATTTTTAATATTGGCCATTATGACTTTGATCTGTCAGGCATGTTTGTCTGAGTAAAATTTAAGGTCTGCATTCAATTGAGTTGGTTTTTCTAGTCTCAAAATCCCAAACTCAAAATGTAGGAAAGTGTTCAGAGAAGTGTGGGTACTGGCGCTTGGTAGCACTGTGAGCAGGATAGATGATTTTCTAACCGCTGACCTTAAATACTCCGATTCCCAATTGGTTTCTGACACCATTCCTAAAGTTATGACTCCAAGAATAATGTTGCTGGGCGGTGATTGGCTGGAAGAATGATGTGATGTCTTCCAGGGGCAGAACTTCTGGGAATAATGTGACTTGGAATATTTATGGGTATTTCTTTTGGTGTGCTTAAAATATTTCCATTCTTACCATGTCTACCTCATAAACTTTTAAGTTTTCCTACCCCATAATTTGTTTTATTATGAGTAACTCAACAAAGTGGGAAGGGCAGACCCCAAATTTTCATTGACCTGTTTCAAGAATATTTATAAGTAGTCAAACAACAAAACAGTGTTTTGCTTTTAAGCAGGTTCAAATGTACTTTGGGTTGGAAAGAGAGAAAATGGGTCAGAGGCATAGGAATCCTACACACATCCATCTGATCTTAACTGGCGGAGTTCTTAAATTAAACAGATCCTCCGATGGCTGACACAATGAAGTATTGGTTACAGAATGTTCCATACCAGTTTCTGGCCATTCCTAGTAAAGTTTGGATAAAGCAGTAAGTGGAAAACAGTCTTCATTACAGCATTTCCTTTGACTCAAAACTGCGAGGCCGTTAGTCCTGAAACCATCTCTTATGTGCTGTCTGTTTTGCACTGAGTCCTAACGATACATCTTCCCTATTTCACGTCATTAGAAACTTACCAACCCGAAACTTCCATGAGGAACCCTGTAGATTAAAGGCCACCTTCCTAATTGCCCTCCCATAGGTTTCACACTACTCCACCAAAATGCGCACATCTGTTTGCAATAGTTAACAAAACATTCCTTTGTTAACATTGTTATAAACCTTAACAACTCAACTGGAGGAGAGAAAGGAATTTTCCCATAACCGCACACAATTCATTCGGTTGCTATTCTCTTCTCCAGTTACCAGAAAACATCAGAGCAACCACTGCTGCTCACACTAGCTGTTTCACATTAATTAAGAACCGCAGCAGAAAAGATACAGGATATACATTTTGGACAGTCTCTGCAATATCTTTAAATATACTTATATTTTCCACTTTCGTTTTTCTGTTTTTCTAACATTATCCTGCTGAGTTATAAGGACCGTATATCATATGTCAGCAATTTATGTGAGACAAGTGTCCTAACCACATTGCTTATTTTTCTATAAAATTGGAATCACAACCAAGTACCTGTTCATTAACTGGATATTAAGTGAAAAGAATTTCTTGCTATAAAACCAGATCAAGTACATAATTTATGAAAACGAACTCCAAGAAACACTAATGCCGGCAAAGTTAAGCCGTGTGTGTGTGTGTGTGTGTGTGTGTGTGCGTGTGTGCGTGTGTACCCAGAAACTCCTCATTTCATAAAATTCTCCAAGCAGCGACTGTATTGCTCTACCTTAATTCCAAGTTCTATCTTTGGAGTGTTATGGGGACACCGTTGTTCAAATTATATTTGAAATTCATCTTCTTGAAATTCGTTTATGTAAGTAAATTCTGGGGTGGGAAAATTACATGTCACGTCTATGATAAGAATACTATTTCTTCTGCTTATGCTAGGATCAACTTTGATCAAAAGTCATAGAACTAAAAGTTTAAAAACATAATACCGAGAAATTACGAAGTTCTAGTATTTAAAAAGAGTTGCTTTCTAGAGTATGAAAATCCCTCAGAATCCTAAAGCAAGCTTAGTAGGTGACAAAATTGAATTTGCAAGTCTATTTTTATTCTTCCAAACTATGAAGCAGTTCAGGTGGACCCATGCTGTCTGGGAGAGAGTTATGATGGAGCTGGAGGAGACCCCCGCTCGCTCAATGGCTTCCCGGACCACTCACTTGCCAGCGGCGGCTTAATGGTGGTGATTATTGTTACCTCTTCCAATAAGGTTAGCCCCCCCACCCAAGGTGGGTTAAGACTGCATGTGTGAGTGAGCCAGTCAATTAGCCATTAGGTGGGCCTTCTACTCTGTCTCTCGTGCTTTGCAAACCACCGACAGCCATGTCTGAACTGGTTAATAAAAGAAGTCGGGCTCTCCGTCATGATCTGAAGGGAAGGCAGCTTTAAATCACCAAGTCATGGCTATCAGGAACGCTGATCTGGCTTAAACATAAACTTACACTCAGGTCTGGGGCTTCTCGGACAATTTATTTTATTACCTACATTGATTGGGCTGTTTTTTTTTTCTCATATCCTTTAGCACTTAAAATATGAACAAAGGTGGCCAATTGTATTACTTTTAAACATTTATCTGCATATAGACCTCTTAAAGAAGCAAGTATTTTGTGGGTATCAAATGCCGTAAATCAGATTATTTGTAGTCCATACTTTATGCAATAAAAAATAAGGTTGGTTTTTTTTTTTTTACCACCATAGGGTGTTTTTTCTCAGTGCATTAAGAAATGGATACACTTATTAGTTTTGAAGTTTTATGAATTAAAATGATTATGTCCTATGTTCTAGAAAGAACAAGGTTTAAATACTATTGTATGGATTGTTTTAAATGCTACTGAGAAGTATTAAACATTGTACAAATCAATGTCATATGTTCTCATTTAAGGCTGCAATATAATATTTTTTTTGAAATATTCTGAATAGTTCTGTGGAAATATTCAGAAAGTGTTAGAAAATGCTGTCTTACAGACACATCGATACTAACAGAACCTTGGTCATTTTGTAGTTTTGATAAGAACTGTAAGTGGAGTTTAAATTTCTTTATTGGGAGGTTATAAGCCTACTTTTTAAGTCACTGAAATGGGTGGGTTCATTTTTCATTTTGCCCAGCATGTTGACAGAGTGTCAACCCTATACCTAGTCCTGACGATTTATTAATCTCCTCTGCCATCATCTGGGGACTGCAGGAAGCAGTTGATATGTTGATATGTAAGAAGCTAGAGACCTAAAACTTTAGAACTCTCTCACTTGTTAGTTCAGGCTCATTGAAAAATTTATCTTAATTCTCACTCTAACGTCATCAAAGATAGGAAGGAGCATTTAGACTTTAACGTGCGTCAAACAATGAGCTATTGCAACTGTGTGTAAGCTCATTTAGCACCCCAGGCTGTATAAACTAAATTTTAAAATTATATAAACATGGTCCTCTCTTCCTTTAGCTTCAGACAAGGTCCTATGCTGCCTAGCCTGGCCTGGACCTCACTAAGTTCCCCAGGCTCTAGCCTCACCTTCACAGCCTCCCTATGTCACCCACCCAAGAGTTGTGACACTGGGCATATTATTCTCTTTTTATTCTTCATGTTAAGGGTATTCTGTTTATCCATCAGGGATAGGAGCTGTGTTTTCTACTAATTTTCCAGAAAAGCACAAGAATAAGTCAGCTGCTGCCACACTCTGGCTCCTTCTTCCTTTGAAAATCTAACCTGTGGCAAGGTTACTTGTGTGGTCCTTGGCCAGAGCATAGCATGTTCTCATGTCCCTTCCCCCCTGTCCCCCCTCCTGTAACTGACTCTATAGTGACCAAACCTAGGAAGGCTCACTGGCATCAACAGGTGTCGCTGTGGTGTGCCACTATATCATCGTAAGCAGCTTACCCCAGCCAATCAGATTTCAAGTTTGAGAACTGGTCACTTGGAAAGTTTTATTGATGGTTCCCCTTGTATACACTGTCAAAGTTGAAGGCAACTACCCTGTTATTGATTTGCCTGGTGATTGCCTGGGACTCCAGTTTAAAATGTAGCTTTTCATTCTGTCCATCATGCTTAGGACCAGGGTTGTCTGCATTTCTTACAAAGGATGCTGGAGCTGGTGGTCCGTGAAGCATACTCTGAAGGGCAAAAGTGTCAGATCCATGCAGGCAAGCAGGAGCATCCTTTCTCACCCGCAAATGAGGGAGGTATTAGAATGAGAGTTCTTTGAGGTTGCTGCAGACCATCTTTGGTGAGCAGTGAAAGTAGGTGTCCTGACACTCACTTATCTTACAACCTTTCCGTAGCTATTTATTGTTCAAGGGTTTATGCGCAAGCCACGGCGCACACGCGGAAGTCAGAAGACACCTTGCAGGGACTGGTTCTCTCCTCCCACCACGCGGCTTCCCAGGAATCCCACTCAGACCTTCAGGCTAGGCGGCACTCAGGGAGAACCTCCCTGTCCCACCCCATCCCCTCCTGTTTTAAATGTAGTGTGGGAAGGTTTTCTGTATAGACTCAAAACGTTTAGACAGAAATAAATGACAAAATATTTGAACTCTAAACAGCCTTAAGGATGGTTTATGTTCAAGCCATCATTTTTATAGAGGGAAGCGTAGGGACCTGGCGTGGCTAGTTTAACTGTTTCTGCTGTCGAGTTTAACTCCGCGCCAATGACATCTGAACACAATCGTTGTTGGTTTTAGGCTGTCGCCAAGCTAATGTCTGTGGACTGCCGCTGCCATGGCGTTTCCGGCTCCTGTGCCGTGAAGACCTGCTGGAAAACTATGTCTGCTTTTGAAAAGATCGGGCATTTTTTAAAAGATAAATATGAAAACAGCGTCCAGGTTTCAGACAAAACCAGGAGGAAAATGCGCAGGAGAGAAAAGGATCAGAGGCAGACCCCCATCCTCAAGGACGACCTGCTGTACGTTCACAAGTCTCCCAACTACTGTGTGGAGAACAAGAAACTGGGTATCCCTGGGACCCAGGGCAGAGAGTGCAACCGCACGTCCGGAGGCGCCGACGGCTGCAACCTCCTCTGCTGTGGCCGAGGCTACAACACGCACGTCGTCAGGCACGTGGAGAGGTGTGAGTGTAAGTTCATCTGGTGCTGCTACGTCCGCTGCAGGAGGTGTGAAAGCATGGCCGATGTCCACACTTGTAAGTGAGCTCTCCATCCAGCCCGGCGCGGGACGCCTCGGCAGCAACCAGAGGCGCCGGGATCTTGAGGGCGTCCCCTACCGTGCGCGGCTGGGGAAGTCGCTGCCTGTGCTAGTTCCAGACCCCTGCGCCAGCCAGACCCGTCCCCAAGTCCATCATGAGGATTGCTTAGGATTCTAAAGTTGGAAAGGTTGGCAGTCGCCTTTGGATGGTTTGGGGAATATACACGTATTGACAGATAGCGAGCATCAGTCTGTTTCCGAAGTGATACCGAGGTGGGGCGGATTGTCCCAGAGAACTGGTCCAGGCTCAGAATAAGACCTTAGACTGGAGACACAGTTACGGAAGGCTGCACATCGATCATTTCTTAAAGACATCTCTTATAGGAGCAAGGAGCAGTACAGTTGAATTGCATTTTTCCTTAGTATTTTAATAGAATCAATTTTATTATTTGTGTGTAGACAAAAGATGCTGAAAAGTAACCAAGGGGCAGGTGCTTACTTTCCGCTTTCATACACTCCAAAAGAAGGGCGGTTGAAAGTATTCTCGTTAACAGATATAATATCTCTTTTAAAGTCTCTTTAAAGATAAGTAATAAAAGAATCAAAATGTAAAAAGTAATACCTGATTGGGATTTTTATGTGTCTAGATTTGCCGAGGAAGTGTAAAAACTCTGTAAAATTTATACCACTTTTAACCTTTGGATTTATTCTTTTATTGCAGAACAGTTTCTACCATTAAAAACTTATCTGTGATATGCTGGGAGGTGGGATCCTTAAAAAAAAAAAACAACTGAAAAAAAAAAGCACCCTTAATAATGTAAAGACAGTATTTGTATAGTATTTTACTTTAAAAGTTTTATATGTTGTAAATATAGTATTTAATTTATGTAACATATATTAAGACTTAAAGACATTTATTGTTAAAGTCTGAGAGTACTAGAATAATAAGGTTATGTCGAGAAATAACAATAGCTTTTATTTCTTTTTCATACTACCAATTCTTTTCTAAAACATTGAAAAAGAAGGTAATTGAGGCAATTACCTGAATATATGTTTCTTGCCAAAAATAACAGTTTTCATTAAAAAAACAAAACAAAAAACTGTTTTTAGTTTTTTGAGACAGGGTTCCTCTCTGTAGACCTGACTGTCTTGAAAGTGACAGTTTTCTGTGCTATAGATTAAAGTGCGTTACAAAATACTGAAGATCATGTTATTTCAGTAGCCTGAGTAATCGAATTCTTTTGTCTTCAGCCTTAGCTCTGCTGTATTATAACACATTTCATCATAAAAGTCTTAGCTGGGAAAAGAAATCTAAGCCAGAATAATGCTGAATTTGATACCCTGGGTATTTATCATACTTTATGCAATGTTACCCTTCCATTTGAATGTTAAGTGCTGATTTTCTTTTTTCTTTCTTTTCTTTTATTTCCTTTTTTTTGGGGGGGGGGGGGGGGTGTGGTGGGGAGGGTTAGCTAAGAACCCAGGGCCTTGCGTTTGCTAGGCATGTGCTCTACCACTGAGCTAAATCTCCAACCCCTCTTTCTTGTTTTACCCTAAACATCTATGTTCATATTTCACAAAACACCTAGTGAAATGTCTAAGGGCTGTATTTAAGGCTGTATTTGAACATAAATGCTTATGCTTTAATACTTTGTTAAATATTTTAGAATTATCTGGAAAATTGTTTTTCTAATTTCAGGATGAAAACAAAAACATTCTTTTTCTTATAATAAGATAAATATTTATCAAATATTTTAATCTATTTCCTATTGACTTTTTAAAACAACATTGAGCAGTAATTTGAAAAGCAAACCTATGGAAGATTTCTCAATTTTGATGTTAAAGATCAAGACTGAACATTTAATTGTGATTCTTAAGGTCTAATAACAGTTACTGTTTGCTAAATGAGAAATACAGACATTGCAAATGAACAAATACACTGTTAATTTGAAAGAATTGCTTCTCATTTCTTGTTATTCCCTGACTAGAGTGATGTGGGTCTGGGGTACTCTCATGTTCTCTTTGCAAAGTAAGTCTACTTTATCTGTCTTGACAGTAATCATCCTTTTAAAATTATAGCAAAGACTGACTCTACTAATTAGAAAATTTCATAACCCCTATCAACTGACTGAAAATCAGTCAGCCTCTGACTCATGATAGCTGGACTCCTCAGCCATTGCTTGAAAACCCCAATGCCTGTTTGGCTGTTTTTGTTGTTGTTGTTTGTTTGTTTTTTAGGAAGCCAAGGAAGAATTTTTCACCCCCAAGCTGTCTGTGCAGTCTTTCCCTTCTTATCTTTGGCAAAACCCCTGCAGTGACCTTTGAATTTTTCACCATCTATCTTTACGTTGCAAATAACACCAAACCCAGACTAGACTGACATTTAAAAAAAAACATATTGGCTCAGAAACTGAAAACATCAAAATTTTAACTGGATCGGAGGAAGCATCAGAAAATGCCCACCATAGTCCCTAGGCTCAGCGCTCAGCATCACTCCCATCTGCTTCTGGCATTGTCTTGAATGCCAGGCTCCATAGCTGTGCGCCTCTAATTCTTGTACCCCTGGCAGCTCCATCTCTGCTTCTCTTGGTCACATGGCCCCCATGTTTGCAGACCTCACCTTCTAAGGAAAAAAAAAAAAAAAAAGAGAGAGAGAGAGAGAGGCCATATTTTAGTTGTATATTTTGAAGACTGGAAAAAGTTTTCTTCCCAGAAGGTCTGGCAAAGATCATCTGGGTTAGTGTTAGCAGCGTCTGGTTAAATGAGCTCATATTTGACAGTTGGGAGTTGGGATTGGTCAACAGCTATTCTTATCTGTCTAATAGCAATCTGGGCCCTTGCTGGGCACCAGCAGCAGGTTTTAACTCCTACTAATTGAAGCAGTTTGAGGTTGGGGAGGGGGAGTTATGTGTAGAGAAAAAACAGGGCATTAATTTACCAGGAAAGGCTACTTGAATGCCCACCGCCAACAGAGCATTACAGGACCGGGTCCTAGTGATGTGTTTGCATCACACAGAACTCACAGCCAGACACACGAAGCCTGGTGCTTGTAGATCATTTATATGGGAGCAGTGGCACCGATGTTTTTCAACTTAAGAATTTAAGTTTTCTGTTTTGTTTTGTTTTTTAATTTGGAACTAATAAGAGAGAAATGGATCATCTTCAAATAAAACTAAAAAAAAAAAAAATAAGCCAGGTATGGTGACACACCTTTAATGCCAGCACTCGGGAGGGGAGGCACATGGATCTCTGGGAGTTCCAGGCCAGTCCAGTCTAGAGAGAGAGTTCCAATCTATCCAGGGCCACAGAGTGAGACTCCATCTTTAAAAAAACATAAAGGTGCATTAAACAGTAGCGTTATCTGTAACCTCTGGGTTAGGAGTGCGGAAAGCATTTCTCTGTTAACAGTACACTACAGAACTTATTCATGCTGTTGAGTATAAACAACCAACCACAGTACCCCCACTCCCAGTTTGGATGGCATTTGCTTTGTTTTGTAGTTTAAGGAACTACACCTTATACCAAGAATAAGGACACTTCCTTCTATGCTTACATGCTATGACATTACATATTCTTACAGCTTTAGAATCATGTGATATTCACAGTACAAATTTTTGAAACACACTTTTTCCAAAGCTTTGTTAGTACTGATATGAACAGTTCCAGTGTTAAGATCAATAGAGAACATGTAACAGTGACCCTTAAAATTCAACAAAGCTAGTATTTACTAGGTGAGGACATGGAAATGGAGCTGGGGAGCCCAAAGCACTGGCCCTTCATGAGTTTCTGGTAGTTTGAAGGTCTCCTCCCTTAAGCCCTCAAAGACAAAAATAAGCTGCCCATTAGTTAGCTCCTTATTTGGAACACTGTGCTCTACTAAGCTGATTTGAGGAAAGAAAACTTCAAATTCTTTCCCCAAGAACCACAAATAGTCCCCAAGACAAACCTTTCTAAGGACAGCTAAGCTGTACGGATACTTGCTTTAATTTCAGTTTTACTATGCAAGCGTAACAGGTCTTGCATAAAGAGTAGGGCTGAGTCACAGCATGAAAGCGGACGTAGCGGTAAACCAAAGAGAGATGGGAGAGACTAATTTCCTTTGCAGGCAAACATAACTTTAGTAAACACCTTGATAGAATTTTCTGTATAGCTGGCATGGGCCAAATAAATCTATTCATATGTCCATACACATATATATGTGTACATATAATGTATATATGTACATGTGTATGAATATATATCAAATTATATAGATGTGAATAATCTTCACAACAATTCCACCAATTAGGCACCAGTATTGTGGCTCCATTTCTCAGATAGTGTCCACTCACAAGATAGATCAGCTGCAAAATCTACACTCTTCTGTGCACTCATCAAATCATCAGGATTAGGTTTACACCATATGAAGACCTTGAGGAATCTGTAAGAAGAGTTAAAATTACAGATGTTTCCTCCTAGTTTGCTTATCTAAACTTAGCTCTGGAGCTCAGAATGATTGAAGCTAACCTCTACTTTAGATCCCAACAGAGCTAACAGTGGGACTACCCAAGAGTCTACCAATCTCCCAAGAAGAATTGATCTGAGTAAATAAAATAAATACACCTACTGCTTATGGCCAAGTGCTACACAAGGTATTCTAGTAAGACAATGGGTAGCATTCATCCTTTGAAATGGTTTATCTTCACATACAGAGACAAACTACCAGAGGGGGGTTGCACCAGGTTAAAGCTTTGAAAAGAAACCCTCTGCGTCACCCACCGAGTGTTACGAAGAGAGAATAGTTAAATGTGGAGTCAACACAAGCTAAAGGTCCTTGGAGTGGAAGCCTTCATCTGAATTGTAAGAACCGGAAGAAAATGTGACTACCTATTCCCTACTAAATGGCTGGTCCAGCACTGGGCACAGTGATGACACCCGCACCTGCCAAGAAACATCTTAGTAACAACCTAGTTCTAGGTATTCAAAAATAAGCAAAGGAAAACCTGTGTCTCCGATAACTCTTTTATTTTACTGCATATTTAAAGACAACTCAAAAGGGGTACACAAATTGAATCAAAGATCTCCTTTTTTTCCCAGTACATAATCTCTATTCTTTCTTAGTCCTATGTACTACCATTCCTGTATCTTTTGTTTGTTTTGTTTTGTTTTGTTTTTCAAGACAGGGTTTCTCGGTGGAGCTCCAGCTGTCCTAGGCTCACTTTGTAGACTGGGCTGGCCTCGAATTCAGATATCCGCCTTCCTCTGCCTCTGTGAGTGCTGGGATTACAGGTGTGCACCGCCGTGCCCGCTATCATTCCTGTATCTTAAGCTCCCCAGCAAACTTAATATTTGCTCCACTCAAGATCTTTGGGATAAAAATAGCATACAGACAGAAAAGTGAAAAAAACCCTGAAGTCAAAGGGATAGATACATGCTGTCTGACCTATCTTCTATTTAATGAGTACAGGATTTCACAAAGATAAATTTCATTAGTTTGAGAAATTCTTCCTTTTGCAAACTTGAAGACTTTTTCTCTCTTAAAGTAACCAACCCATTGTTTCTCAAGATACTGCAGCTTAAACTTTATTGATTGAATATTGAAACAATCTCAAAATTCTAGTTGTGGCAATATCTAATTGTGTCCATATCCAACATGCCCTAGAATGTAGAACTCTAGGGAGCCTACTCCAGAATATTTCTATAGAGTATGTTGCAAAATACACATTTAACAGTTCTGCTGGCTTTCAACATCATTCTGAACAAGAGTTTCCAGTTTCTGTCGGTGTCCCGGAACAGGCTCATCCACTCACCTTGTATCTCACATCTACCTCCCAAAGAGCAGAAAACCAGTCTCTGGATCCTATTCCTCAAAATTCATCAGCTGAACCTTCTACTCTGTATCCTCAGACTTCCCAGCCTACAGGCACTACTGTCTACTGGCTTGTCTGTGAACTGAAAATGTTCCAAAGGCAGTGCCCAGCATGATTCAATCTTTCCCATGCTCAGCATTGAACCCTCATGACATTCTTGCCATCCATTTCTATTCTTGTCAAGGAATTCAGGTCTCTAACCAGGTTCCCAATAAACGGAACCAAATGTAAGCACAGAAGTTTTAGATCAGAAATTCAGAGTTGTTCAGATTTCCACCTTAGTGCCAACATGCGTAAACAAATAAAAATGCAGACCTTGACACTTAGTTTTAAGATAAGATATTTAGGCTCACACTGGACTCTTAGTTCAAACCCAGGGTGAAGGTAACTAACATTTCTGTTTAGCAGTAGACATACAACGGGCCATCACATTTCACTGGTGATGCAGAAAAGCAGGGTTTGGCAGAGAATTCACTTGTCCCCACGTTGAGTTTGTTCACATCAGTCCGCATATGAATGGTAGCTAACACATTTTGGGAAATATGTTTGGAGAGCCCCCCCCCCAAACCAAACAATAATAGCAATAATCTTAAAAGTTTCAGAATTCCCACTTAAGAGTCCTCCTTTGCCTAGGCAATCCTGGTTGTAAGAACCTTCTTCATTGGCCCTTCTAGGCAAGAGGCAAATGCTAGCAGGAATGCAGCTAAACCCCATGTCTCCCTGGCCCCCTATTACCCTTCTTCTCACATCACCCTACAGTTAGTTACTAGAGGCAGGGACCAACGTCTGTGTTCTCAGCCATAGCTAGCCCAGCGAGTGGAGCTCTTATTTATCAGATTTAAAATTTCATGCCTACGTACAAGACATGAAATCTTGAGTTCTCCATGTGACGGGGCCTTTGGTGCTCTGAGTAATGAATGAGACAGAATGCGAGAGTCAGAGCCTTGGAGATCACAGACGGCCTCGAGTGTAGCTGCATTTCATCTGTTAAGGAGGCCACGTCCATTTCACCGCCTGCCTCCTTTCTGGCTTAGAACTGGCAAGCTACAGGTGCATGCTTGGTAAATTTTCTGCATCTATAAGTGTACTAGTCTGCAAGAGGTATGCAGCTAATAACAGTATCTGGATTTAAGGAGCATTTTGTTCCAGGTACTTTGGTTGGTACCATAAGCACTCTAAGGACTGTCTGTCTTTATAGGGAAAGAAACTGACTATACTCACACCATCACGAGTGCACGCATGAACACATACAAGCACATCTGTGGTGTCAGGCTGGGCACCACACATCTCCTCTTACAGTCTCCTGCTTTAAGGTTTGGGGTCCTCTTTTGACTAGCAAGGAAACAGAAGCGAAGTCCATGAAATGTTAGGAGCTTGCAGGTTCACAAGTTAATTTTCCCTGTTAAACTGGAACATCTTTATTATTCTGGCTTCAACTTCCCTCCGTATTCAGTGCACTCCGTTACTGATGCCAAGCTAGATAATGAATGAACTTAGTACCAGAAACAAGTAGTACTTGCCAGCTCAATGAACGGGCAATTTTTCTGACAGTAATCACATATAGGAGAAACAGCACTGTTACGGCTGACCTGTCCCCTTTCACTCCAGCCAGCACGGACCTGCTTCCTCAGCACAATGCTCTCAAGGTATAGTTCCTCTGAGGAGGAAGGCTCCCAAGGGGCCTTCACCAGCCTCAATCCCATCCTTTGATGCTCCATTATTACTACCTGGCAACAGATAACGGACACTTCCTGGCTAGGCCTGCCTGTTTTTCATCCCATCTAACCCTTGATTTGACTGGTGCCAAGAGTTTCAGGAAAGAAGGAGTGCTAAGAGGAGAAAGAAGGGATTTCGGGGGTGGGGGGGATTGACTGACCATTATCTTGTGACAATCAGTAACCAAGTTTATGGTAGAAAATTCATCCTGGTAAGGACAAAACAAGAATCCTTTAAAAGGCTTTTAGAAAAGGGGAAATCCATTTCTGGCTTCTACAGCTCCGCATTCACATGTATTTGAAAAGGTGGCAGTAATTGTTTGAGGCACATCTTTTACCCAATCAACAAGCATTTTCCCACTTTCATATTGACTTGAAAAGATACCAAATGTATTTCCAACTTAAACCACTTTGCTCATTGAACACAGTGCATTTCTCTCTTCTTTTCACTTAAAACGAACTGGGACAGAGGGTTGACAAAACAGAATGAATGATTTTACCTTTAACCAAATTAAAATGAAGGATATAAAGGTTCTCTATATTTTTCTAATTTCACAGATATCCTCTTATTTTTGCCTTCCTTTTGCCTTTTTAGCACCCACCTCCCTCTCATGTCTGTTCTAGGAACGCATCTATGATTGCAGATAGAATTGCACCTGTAGACCCTCACACATCACTTCAGCTACTACACTTTAGTGTTAGAGTTTTGACTTTAATAAAGAAAATTCATTCTCAACATCAAATGAACATTGTTTCACTTCTAAGGCTGATGTGAAAGTAAAGCAGCTGATTATTGCTTCCAGAGTTAAGCTGGTACAACCAACACAAGACAGAATCCAGACAAAAAACGGCAGCTCCATAGCAGTTACATAACCATTCTTAACCATTCTAACATTTTATACAGCTGTAAACCCATCTCTCAAAGGGATGGCCTGTTACCAAGCAACTTACATGTTCAAATACATCCAGAGCATATTACTGTATTTAATGGCAAAGACTTAATTTCTTTTTTGCATGTTAAGATGTACAAAAATTGATTGGAAAGATTTCCTGGGATGTTCTGCAGGCATAGTACTTTGCCAAATTAAAAATCAAAGTGTGAAACCAAGAGTGTTTATGTTCATTATTTAGAAAAATAAAAACAAAAACAAGACCCCACAACATTTATTTTCTATTCCCCAGAACCGTAAAATGGCTACGCTTTCACAGAACCAAGGGAAATGCTTTACATGCCAAACATACATGCTGGATGTGAGTTAGTACAGAAACAGCAGAACTCTTAAAAGTTTACAAAACTTGTCTGAACATAAAAGATGTGTCTCCTTATGAACTACACCCATTTTGTGGAAAGAAACAGTACCACAAGGTCAGTAAGAGTCAAGAAATATCTGAATTGCTTCCAGCTTTTTAACAAAATAGCAAATACTGCTTTTAGATTTTTATACAAACCACCTAAATTTTAGGTTCAAATTTTAAGTGTTGCCTCATCCCATGAGAGGAAGATGAGCACTACACTTGTTTATGCTGCATTTTATATAGTTCCGTACATGAGTATTTGATATATGTCACATACAACAGGTATTTAATGCCCTAAAAAAAAAAAAAAAAACATAATTAGGGCTTTTAAAATATTCCGCTACAATTTCAGGCCATGGTGGCTATTATGAAGTTAGAAGTAAACAACAGAATTTCTTGGTTTACAAATCAAAGCCTTGATAGTAAAGTTCTCCTGTTCTAAAACCACGTGGTCAGTGACAGTGAGCAGGTAGACGCCTTCGTTACTCCTCATGTGCTAAGCCTGCTGTCTTGAATGACTTGATTAGGTTGAGGAGGCGACTTGGCCTTGTTCCCCAGTTCTGTGGGATCCCAGCTCTGGCCTGACTCTAAACAGTTTATACAAAATCAAATAATTCATGATGCTAACACAAAATCTAGAAAAATGAGCCCTGAATGACACCTACATTAATGTTTCTTTTCACTGTATTAAAATTGTTGTGCTTTTCAGAACTCTGATGTAAATTTTCATGTGAAACATTTTATTTCTGGATTTCTTTGGAACAAAAAATGAAGACTATGAAAAAAGCCCAACAGGAATCAGTCTATAAGGTAATATTACACATACAACTAGCCAAAAAAAAAACCAAAAAAACCAAAAAACTCTTTAATTTAAAGGATACTGTCATCACGTTCCAGATATTTATACAGAGACATATATATGAACAAAATCTCCTCCCTAAAAGCCACATTGTTCCATGTTAGGGTTTCACAGCAACCAGGATAAATGTCAGTGTCCTATACAATCTGCCTGGTTACCCAATCAATATGCTTTTAGCATTTAAGTACATTATTGCCATTGTAGTCTAAACATTGTACTTTTAGGGAAATGTGCTTACAAATGGTTCAGTGATTTGCTCCAGATGAGGACTATTTACAAAGGTAGCCTCTTATGTTAGCAATAAATAATCCCGGGATCAACTGAGACGGTCTTGCCCATGCACACCCTGGACGGCCTCATGCTGCTAAAATATGTACACGGAGCGGCTGCTTTCCAGCTCTCGTCAAAGTGCATTCCTCCGCTCTTCGCGTGCCTTCAGTCTTGCTTCTGGGGGATGCACCCTTCCATCTCCACCACCTCAGGCCAGCCTTCGTACTTGTTCGTATCCTTATTGTTCTTTATGTGCTGAGGGGACACAATGGCAGTGCACGGCTTAACGAACGTCTGTGGTCTGTTAACTTGCAGTAGCATAGCCCGCTTGCTCACATTTCAGTAACACACATGTCAACGATGAAGTCCCGTGAATTTGAGACTCAAGGTAATAAGTGAATGAGCCTTGGGGAGAGGGTGCCATGTGGCATACCTTCAAAGACACTACAAATGTTTTTAAAGGACTGTTTGTTTGTCAAAAAGTTTCTGTTCTATTCTATTTGAGGTCTGAGACATCTGCAGACCTGATTCTCGCATCCGTGCATAACTGACATCCTTAAAAACTGAACTTCTTTAAAAGGCCTGAGAGTGAAAATGCATTGTTGTAGAAGAGGGAATAATTTTTTAAAGTTATCTAAGAATTTTTTTAAAGTTATCATTATTTTAATTACTTGCTGAGAACTTACAAAAACCATCTGGAGATATTCAGTATTGGCTTCATCTAATTTTCAAATAATTAGTATGAGTATATTGTATGAGAACATTTCACTAGTTTATTCTTATCTGTTAATTATGAGCATCCCAGACACTAACCTGTTCAAAGGGGCTTTTTGTCTTAATGCCCTTCCCACCGCAGAAGACCCAGTTATCTCGAAAACCAAGACTAGTGATGGAAGTGCTCCCCAGCTCAGCAATGAGCCGCCGTGCCTCCTCAGTGAGTCTGAGAAAGAAGAGAGAACAATCAACATGGGGCATTTCATTTTTAAATATTTACCAAAAGACTCACTGAATACGAAGGTGAAAGCATTTCATATTACATCAAAGAATATAAAAAAATAGATAGAGAAAAATTTTTCTACAATATTCCTACTTGAGTTCTTTAAGTGATGAAAAACAAAGTCAAGAAGTTAGTTAGAAAGCCTGTCAAACATCTGCATTGCCTAACAATCTGTCTTCCCTTCCTTTGTTATTTCAAGAAAGAAGAGGTATAGCCCTGCAAACGGACTCCTACCCAGGCTAGAACCAGGTCTCAAGCAACCAGTCTTCACTGACTTTCCACCAATGCCTCTGTGAATTCCATTTGAGTGGAACAAATGTGAATGCTGTTAGACACTGAAGGAAATGTTTCTTGGCACTATCTTTTATTTAAAACACTTTTTGAGAACAGATATGTAGGTTGTACTTTAGTTATTTGACAAAAATGGGTGCAGGAACCACAAAAGAGCTAAACATTTATCAGGAAGGCAGTGACAGATGTCAGCCTCCAGAGAAGCCCACAACTGAAAGATGCCATTAGAAACATCTGTGTCTATCACCTAATGTCGAGCGAGCCCCTTTCCTGTCTCACAAGGAGCAGAAAGGAAGCAGATGAATCCTAGCTGAAGAGCTGGAAAGAGAAAGCGAAGGGCCAGGTACACAAGTTATTTGACATGAAGTCCTGTGGCATGTAGAGAAACAAACAAACAAAACTGCCACTGCCAACAAACCCAACTTTTAATAGACTATTTCGACAGATCTGCCCTGCTAACACCAAGGCTAAGTGTCCCACCTGCAACAGTAGGACAGTCAGTGAGGAAGGTATAAGCCAGAAGTAGCCTTCAGCTCTCTAATGCCTTAATGAAGCAAACAAACACATGCCCTCACTATCTTAAACTAATCTAAACATTAGGGGGCGCTTTGCATTTAAAAAGGGAGTCGGAGAAATATGAAATGCGTACAGATGTTATCATTCAGCTTTCACAAACTATGCAAATGATCACATCCATAGGGCAGGGGAGCTATTTCAAACACAGCTGGATCAAGTTCATGAGAATCAGTGGGAAAATGAGCAGAAGCCCCTGGGAAGATCAGCTTGTCGTCAGATCTACTTCTGAATGACAGAGTGTGAGCCAGTGAACTAAAAAGGAGTATAACAGCCATGTTAAAAAAGAGCTCATGAAAACTAACAATAAATTAAGTAATTAATGAATGTTTAAAGGGGCCGGAGAAACTGAGTGGTAGATAAAGAGCTTGTGCAGCTCGCAAAAGACTCAACAAGCTCAGTCCCCAGCTCCCACAGTGGGTGAATCACAACAAGCTCCTGTGCAAGGACGCAGAGACAAACACTGAGAGAGACAGAGAGAGAGAGCCCATGCCACCTGAGCATATATGAAGACCTTCCTAAGGATGGTCCACACGCCTCTGTCTCAGCCTCCTGGGAATCAGCTGTCAACACTTAGATGCATTTGCTCTCTTGCAGTGCACCTATTGCCGGAAAGACCGCCTGAGCCCTGTTTCCCAAAAAGCCATGGTTCCTCTACACATGCAACTTAGCTGTACGCTCCATTTTCTCGCCACTTTGAAAAGAATACTTTGCTTCTGTCAACACAAGTAGAGGAGCTGTGATTGCGGACAAAGCATAAAACATATCACAGTGGGGCTGGCTCACAGGGTGCCAACATGGCTGCCTCCTCAGAGGGCCATGGGGCTACAGTCGAGTTCATTCCTCAAAAAATGTAGTTTCCAATCTTGATAAACTGAAATAATGAGTGTTAAATTCACCAACAATAGTAGCATCTGCCCCCAAAATAGCTGGGTTATCCAAATGCAGATATGCTCCCCTATTTAAAAAAGAAATATAGAGTAAAATCTTTCCCATTGAAGAGTTTATATGAGCTAAAAACATATTTCCTGAAGGGGAAGTAAGTCGTCTTTCTGCATTATGACCCACATGGATAAAGCAAGCCAAGTTAGCCAGAGAGCTTGAGACAAAGCAACTCCACGAGCTCTTGCATTTTTCACGGGAATGTTAAAACGTACTTGTGCAGCAAGGAACTAACATAAAAACCCGAGTTCCCCTCAGAAAGGCCTGCCAGCGAGACTAGCATTGTTGGCATCTGGACACTTGGATCTGAGGCGAGCACCTACCCTTCCCAGGGTAGGTACCTGTGGGGCAGAAAATGGTGTCACTTAGACTGAACACCTGTTACGTGGGTGTCTGCAGCTTGGGGACGGGTTATGTGTAGGCTGGTTTCCTGAGCAGCTTCCAGTCAAAATGCTGGGCACTGAGTAATACACTTCCCCACACACCAGCACTTCACATCGGTTGCTCGCCTTCCTTTGGGGCTGGATCATTTGAGCGAGCCTTGTGCAGCCCTACGGGACAGATTCTTGTGGGCCGGAGGAGACACGGGGGAATGGGCGAAGTACCTGCTCCGACAGCAGAGGCACTCAGTTTAAATCCGCAGCACCCTCAGAAAAGGGTGCTGCTGAATGTACCAGTAACTCCAGCACTGGGATGGCAGACAGACTGATCGCAAGAGCTCATCGGCCAGCCAGCCTAGCTCCACTAGTGAACTTTCAGCTCACTAACAAATCCTGTTCGAAGGCAAGGAAAAAAGACATCCAAAATCCTGCTCTGACCCTACACGGAGGCAGACACTTCTGTGCATATACCAATATATGCACATATGCACACACAGATTTTAAGAATTAAAAATAAATACAAGGACTATTGGAAACCCGGCCCTGATTCCCTCCAGCCTTTTCCCCTGGACTCATGCCCTTGCTGGTAACTGCTGTCTACGTTTTCCTGAAACAAATCATGGACACAAGGATCAAACTCTGATGCCTGTGGCTATGTCCAACTATAAAATCACTTCTCAATGACTTCTAATGCTTTCTGGCCTTCCTATGTATAGTCTGGGGGGTTGCTTCAGTGTTCCTTTTTGTTTTATTCTATTTTAAGCAAAGGGTAATTTCATATTTCAGAAGGAAGTTAAAATTGATGCAAAACACTCCGTGTGCTAACAATGAAATATATACAGGTGTCAAAATTTAAAGCCCAGAATAATAAATACAGCCTAAAATTTGGGGATACAAGCTTTTTGTTCTGAACGAGGAACTGAGAGAGTATTGTGTTTTCAGCACTTACTAATGGAATTACTGGCTAAGTTCTTCTAAAATGATGTTGAAAAAGCTAAGGAGATGCTTTGGTGGTTAACAGTTCATGAGGACCAGAGTTTGAGTCTCATCACCTATAAAAAGCCAGTGAGCCTGCACACATCTGTTTCTATGGTACTAGGGAGTGCATGGAGGATACAAGATGGTGCTGAGACTTGCTGATCAATGGCCAAGGTGCAGTGAGAGATCCTGTCTCCAGGGAATATGCAGAGAGCAGAAGAGGACACCTCATGTCCTAGGAGCACACGCAACTATGCAAACCTGTATAACACACTCACACTTAAAAAAATGTTGGGGGTCATCAAGCTTGCTCAAGATGATAAAAGCTCTTGACACCAACATGAAGATCTCAGTTTGGTCCCCAGGATAGACATGGTGGAAGTAAACAACCAACTCCAGCAAGCTGTGCTCTGACCTGGGAAAAGAGGTATATCCAGCAAGGCCTATACCATCCAGCCATGCCTCCTGCCCAAGAGAGCTGATTTTCTGGGATCAATTTTGATTATAACAGGGATTTGGAAAGAAAACAGTCATATTCCTCTAGAGGCTGAAGACTAAGAAACATGACTCAAGGGGCCTTCCAGACCAGAGATGAAAGACAGCACCTCAGAAATTCTTATGAAAATGTAGTTCTTTGAAAAGAAGCAAACATGGGCCCAAGAGATGGCTCAGTAGGCCAAGACACCTGCCAGCAACCTTGGTGACCTGAGTTTGCAGAGAACCAGCTCCTGAAAGTTGTCCTCTAACCTCCACATATGTGGCATACACCCTCCACATACAAACAGATAGGTAGATAGATAGATAGATAGATAGATAGATAGATAGATAGATAGATAGATAGATAGATAGATAGATGTGGAAGCAAGCAAGCAAGCAAGCAAACAAATAATTTTCACCATATAACAGTCTGGTGAGGACTTGGAGAGATGGCTCAGAGGTTAAGAGCACCGGATGCTCTTCCAAAGGTCCTGAGTTAAATTCCCAGCAACCACATGGTGGCTCACAACCATCTATAATCAGATCTGATACCCTCTTCTGATGTGCAGGCATATATGCAAGCAGAGTACCATACACGTAATAAATAAACAAATAAACAAACATAAATATAAAAAACAATCTGGGGAGGCGGCTGGTTTCTACATTAGTGCTGTTGTAGATGGCACTTAAGTGAAAACATGAAAGCTTTTAAAGAATAAACTACATTACTGAAGACAAAGCTATTAGTAATACAGTGTGAAGACCTGCCAGGTCAAAAAAAAAAATTCTGCTACAAAGACAATCTGAGTAACAAAGTGTAATAAAGGCACCCTGATGTTACAAGAAAGAGTAATAGGATACCGTCTGGTCAAGGCAGTCTGCCCAGGGAAGCAAGCATTGTTTGAGCCAGTGAACAGTAACTCTGCAACAGAGTCCAGGTGTGTATTGTAAAGTCAATCCAAGCCCCTGGATCTACATACATCACACAAGCAATTTTTAAAAGAAACCATTGGTATAATCTAACCAATTGTTTTAGAAATGAAAAATGGAGATGCTAAACCATGAAAAGTTTTAACACTCCAGGATTTTATTTTTGTAAATATTGTATCTTATTTTTAAATAACTTTTGTTATTCTTTTAACTTTTTGTTGGTGATGGGGTGATGGTGGTGGCGGTGGAGGCCTGGCAGTGGAGGCAGCATATGTGTGTGTGTGTGTGTGTGTGTGTGTGTGTGTGTGTGTGTTTGTGTGTATGTGTGTGTTCCTAAATAAATACAACATGCTCTGTCCATATGCTTGCCTGGCTCAGGTATTATTGCAGAAGAAAAGGCAAAAAGATTATAAGAGCCAGAGGAACAGAAAGTTTCCTGTGAGATTTTTTTTTTTTTTCTATAGTAATGTCAGTAGCTGCAGGCATGAAATCTCACCAAACATGTGTAAACATGACCTGAACAAGGAAGGAAAGCAGCAACCATGCCAACGTGGCTGGGAGGCTGCAACCACAGAGAAACAACGACAGACAACTAAAAAATGCCAAGAAATAGTTTTCCCCAGGGAAGGGTACACCAATTGACTGTCTAGGGCAGAGGAGGTGCTGGCTCAGTGGTGAAGGTGCTTGCTGGCGAACAAGAAGGCATGGGTTTGAGTCTAGAATCACACCTAAAAGCCAGGAGTGACACTGAGCGCCTATAACCCTGGCTCCCATAAAACAAACTCCAATTCCTAACAAAAATCTAGACTGGAAAACAACCAACAGCCACTAACCCTAACAAGGAAGGGGAGTGGTGCTAGGGGTGTAGCCGAAAGGGCACGGCAGTGAGGCAGGCCAAGTGAAACGACATCTCTGAAACTTAAGCTGCATGGCAGCAGATCAGGGTACGATAAATTAGTTTCCTCTATGAATTTTAAGTTAGCATCTGATAACCTTGAAAATAGCTGTTGTGAATAAAATAGCTGTGCGGCAAACGGATGGCACGCCTTGGGGCGGGAGGCGGGGGGACACTGGCAGCTGTTTGCAAAGCCATCCCTGCAATGGATTAACAGGAGAATTCCACGAGGGACCAGGTCTCTAGCATGGTGGCACACTGCCCTTGGTAAACATTTTTATCAAGGGCTTAAATTTAGACACATGAATGACTCTGGAGCAAGTACAAAGCCTGGATCATGGAACCCTCCTAGGACACACGTCAGACTCAAGACCAAGCAGGCCCAATCAGTACAATCAAATCTAGCAGGAATAAATGAATATAAAGTTCTTCATTTACATTAAACAAAAGCAAGCTCTGAATGGTGGAAAACCTGCCATCAAAGGGAAAGATCTGACAACTTAACAATCTAACTTGACCAAAAATTCATGAGCCAAAATGTGATTTGATTGCTTAGAGAAAACTAATATAATTCCAGTCTGCATGAATATTCAAAGAAATGTAATCTCTGAAATGTGGCAAGTTAGCATCTCCATTGTAGCCAGTTCTGGCCAGACCACATCTGGAACACTGTGCTTAATTTGAGACACTGACTTTAAGAGAGACAATAATGAACTAAAGAATGTCCAAGAAACACAGCCAGGAAGGGAAGTGAATGTGAAATCCAATATGATAAAAGGTTAAAAAAGCTATGTGTACTAAGCCTGGAAGACTAAAAGGAAAATGTCAATTAGTTTCAAATACTGTGGTATCCAGTGACGAGGGAACACTTTTATTGTTCTGCTTTTTGATTTACTCCAAATAAGGACCATGGTACAGAATTTAGAGCCCATCCTGAGAAGACAGCATCTTTTCAGTCTCCTCTCCTTCTTATGGAGCAAGAGCTGGCCTCCAGCAGCAGGGAAGCCCAAGGGCTGAGACTCCAGGGACTTGCCCAGGCTGACTGGCTGCTTCAGGCAGCCCTCGGAGCACCCACAATGCAACCTTTTCAAGACTACATCAGCACCTCAACCAGAGTTCTGATTCCCATCGGGCTCAGTAATAAGGCGTGAAAAAAGAAAGGCCATGTGTGTCTTGACAAAAAAAGCTTTTATGTTAAAAGCTGATGTTATACACATAATACTCTATACTGTAGACAAACGAATGCACAAGTCACTTTTTTTAAATGAAGAAAGAGCTTAGTTAATTAGATTCTGCATAGCATTTAGCTATGCAAAAACAGCTAAATCTGCCAGTCACATTAAGCTTCAATTTATAGATTTCACATTACCATTAGTTGCAGTGAAAATGTACAGTGTCAGCGTTGTTCGGAAAATGCTTTAAAAGATAACAATATCATAGAGGAATAAAGCATATACATTTTTATAAAACAGTCATAAAGCAGCTTTCTGTCTTTAGGGATAGAAAGAAAGAGTTTGATGCAAGAGAACTAGAGACAAATTCAAGCCATCTTAGAACCTGACATAACACAGACACTGTAAGTCTTGAAATTAAATTTGGATTTTTAAAATACAAAAAAAGAGCAAAATCAATGCAAGAGAGAATCTACTAATTACCTAATTTGGAGATGGAAAAATACTTCTTGAGTTTAAGAGTCGGAGAAACTGAAAGGGAAAATCTACAGGCTCAAGTATGTAAATGCTACTCTTCTCTTTTAAAAGTCAAAGGCACCTTAAGTTGAGAAAAACAAACTGTCTGCAGAAACTGTAATTTTAATAAGAGAACTGGTTAATACCTTAATATATAAAGGTGTCTTATAAATCAATATGGATCAACTTGAATGGTCGAAGGAAAATTTATAAAAAAATAAACGAAAAAGAGAAAAAATCCACTTAGCATGCACACACAAAGGTCTAATCTAACAAACGATAAAATAAGCCATTAAAAATTTCCAGGATTGGAAACTCTAAAACATGTACACATGGTTTAACTCAATAATCTCACTTAAAATTTGTATTGTAAGGAAATAGACAGGTAGTTTTGACGTTTTAAGATTACAAAATCGTAACATACATTTTTAAACAATGAGATATAATCAGCCATACTGTAAGGAATATTTAATACAGGAAGCTACACACCAAGTGAAGAAACTATGTGCATTAAGTCAGCTGAAATGGAAAGAAACGACAATATTTCTGCACGCTTTTCCTGCACGGTGGGCTGACCTAACTTGCTTTCCTCTTTGTGCTTTCCCATGGTTTCCAAATTTCCCAACATACACAACACAAGAAGGCAAGCTAGACAACCACTATCTGTTGGAGTTTATGAAGAGTTTGTAAGAGTCAGGACTGGAGAGATGGCTCGTCGGGTAAGAGTGCTCCTGTTTTTGCTAGATTCACAGCACCCATGTGAGCGGCTCACAACCACCTGTAACTCCAGCCCAAGGGACAATCTAATACTTCTGGGCTGCATAGGCATCAACCCACACACCACACACACACACACACACCTCACATATGTGTCCTTGACCATTAATTCCACTTTCAGAAATTCACCCTAAGGTTATAAACAAAGGTATAAAAATGAAAAAAATCTGTGTAAAGGAAAGTTAAATGAAAAACTTGGCAGTTAAAGAGGAACGTTTTAACAAATGTTATGACCACAGGACAAACTGCTATGAGCCATGAAGATGCTACTTAAGAACGTTAATCCAAAAGAATAATGTTAGAAAAAAACAGTTTAATACTGTTATAACATAAAAGAAAAGTACAAAATACTTATGTACAATGTGATCCAAATTTCCTCATAATATACAAATGATGGACATGTAAAGATAGAAAGAAAAAAAGACTTTTTAAAAGGTGATGGTACTTATCTACTTAATAGACTTTGTTTTTCAGTGAAAATGTGTTGCTTTTTAAGGATAAATTATAGCTCCGAAAGTTGTGTTAGGCTTTAATTTTACATACTTGGTTGCTCCGTCATCGTACGTTGCCATTAATACTACTGTCCCATCTTGTATGGTCTTCAGAAATTCAATGAATGGGGCCACATCTGAAGAAGAATTGGAAGTGTTCTCTGTAAATAATGGAATTACTATACAATAATCTCTAAAATTAGTATTATACGAAGTTTGCCTAAAATACTTGTTTCTCATGAAAAATAATGTGTAGTTAAGATGGACAAACCTTAGAAAAAGCTTAAAAACTCAAGTTTCTCAAATCCACTTAGGGAATTATTAAAAAAAATAATCCACTAAACAAGACTACCAAATTTATTTCTCAATATGATCCCTCCATTTCCTAATTTATTTCTCAGCTCTGAATTATCCTGTGTCTTTCATACTCATATTATCTGGGCAAATAAAAATCCATAGCAAATTCTTGTAAGAGTATCACTTGTAAAGCAAGGACCTCAGTGATCTCTCAGAAATAGGTAAGTAGGTCTACAACCATAGGAAGCCTGATTCTGAGGTCCATGTAGAGCTTTGGGGAGCAGCGGGAGTCACAGCCTTGAATGTTAATATGGGTGCTTTTATCCGACCCCTCTATAAAACAAATTTTTCTGTAAAGAGGCAAATCCAAATAGAGTTTCTAGGTCCATCATTTTGTGACAAACTGGGGAAGGTAACTAAAAGTCAAACGAGTTATGGCCAACATTGGTCCTCTTATGCATCGAGTGCCCAGGAACGTCACAGTAATCCAGCTCACTGACTGCAAGCTGGTGTTGCCAGAAGGCTGGTTAGGTGCTAAAGCATTTTCCATTGTGAGCTCTTTGCAAGGTTAGTTTTTGTTATAGACCACAAGTCTAAAACTACTCCAAAACTATATTACTTCAAGCCTTCTCATTTTTTTTTTAACATCGAGGATTCCAAAGATGTTTCTCTAACTGATTATATTTTACACAAAGAGCATTTTCAATGCAGAAACATAAATGCCAACAAGTCATTAACGTTGATATGAAAAGATGACACTGAACTGCTATTATTTCTCAACCAGGAAGAGTCTTTGGCAGCAGTTCAGCTCTGAGAATGGGCAATGAGAGCAATAGCAGAGCTCTGTTTACATGCCTGATTTCAACGGCTTCACGGTAGAGTCTCCATGTTATAAATTATACCAAGAGCAATTATGCCCTCAGAATTTAAAATTGATGGGAACAGTGTAATTTAATATAGCTCTGACAGCTATGAAACATTCTCTAAACCTTAAATAAATAACACACAGCATCTTATTAAAAGCTGAAGAAATATTAGACATATTAGCTCATCTTGAAAGCGAACATAAATGATTGGAATCCTGAAAGCTACTGGCTTATAGGACATATGTAAACAGGCCAGGGAACCTGAATATAAGCCAGGGGCTGGCCTGCCTTCCTTAAAGATGAAATCCTGGTGGCTGCAAAGATGGCGGAGAGGTGAGGAGAGCTTACTGCTCTTCCAGAGGACTTGAATTCGGTTCCCAGTACCCATATCAGGCAGCTCTAGAAGTCCAGTGCCTCGGGCCTCCTCAGGCACCTGCAGCCATGTGTACATACCAACATGCAGACATACGCCTACACATCATCAAAAACAATCTTAAAAAAAAAGAAACCCTCGTCTTTGGGGTACCCTTTGGGGAGACAGTGCTTGCTCTGCATGATGGCCACCTCTTCCTGTCCCTAGGACTCCCAAACATGGAAAGAAAAAGAAAAATCTGTGGCTTGTTCTCAGTCCAAGAAATTACAAAGAAAAGTCTAAACCTCTTTCAAATGTTTGCTGCTGTAACAGCACAGTCTAAAGGTGGAAATAGGATGAATTAGTGGAATTAACGCTTTTTTTTTTTTTGACTGAGTTTACATCAGATACTAAAGGCTCCCACTTCTGTTTAATTTTTGAGATTCAAAAACCGTACAAAGGCCTATTAAAAAACTGTGAGAATTGGTTATCCTGTTCTTTTTATGACTCTAATTTTCATGCAGAAATCTAGACAAGCTCGGGCCTGTGGGTCAGTTGTCCTGTCAATCATGGGGCACTGACAGCCCTCAAATCTAACTGGACTCTCAATCACACACAGCTTCCCTACCACAACCAAAGCACGTGCACCGTCACATGGTGAGACCACCGGGAGGGAGACAAAGCGGAAATGTGACCAGTGGCACAGTTGTCTCGCGGATGGGCTCAGTGTTTCGGCAGCACATACCGACACAATACAAGTCACACATACCTCCTCCCCACATGTCAAAATATTTGGTGTCCAACACCTCCCCCGTTTTTCCTGAAAGAGACAGAGTACATGTTAAGTCACACGACTGAAATATGAGGGTAGAAAGAACGGTCTTACCCAATGAATGACGTGAGCTCATTAACAGAGGGAACTGCTCAGAGAACTCACAATCTGAATCACACACATAAATGTTCATCACCGAGTTCAGATCGATTCTAACACATAAATGTTCATCACCGAGTTCAGATAGATTCTAACACTACCCTTCATTTTTATGTGCGCTCATCACCCTGTGAGAATTACCACCCACACATCACCTTTACGGCAAAGAAATTACCTGCCTACATCAGAACGGAAACGCGCTCTATATTAAAGCTATTTTTTAAAAAATTGCGCTTATCTTACTTTTAGTGAATAGATAAAGAGACATTAAAATTTCTATTGGGGAAAGCGAAAGTACAAAGTCGTCTAACTAGCACCTCTGAACACAGCAAGCAGCGCCCTTCCCCGCTGGGGTGGGGTGAACCGTGGGCAGTTTCTGCTGGCCCCAGGCACTTACAGCAACCTGTGCCTGAATAGGGTCAGCTGCACACAGGAAGCGCCCTGCGCGCCATGGGCTGAATGCTTCAGACTCACTTCTGGAACACTCACTACGCACAGGGTGCAATGGACTTATTCCCAGCAATAATCCTGTGGGAAGACTGTGGACGGTACTGAAAGCTCCCAACAAATTATGACTCTATTCCTCCCTCTACTTATCTCACGATCCATCATCCTTTGTCACTTTACAAACCCGTACTCCCGTCTTTCTTTTTCATACTGAGAATTTTGAAAGATACAGCAAGATGGCACCAAGTTAGCATTAGATTTGTAGTTTGGTAATTTCACAAGGTTGCCACACCGTGCACATGGCTACAATGTGCCCAAGAAGACATGCTACTCATGGGTAGATTCCCTTTTTTCAAAAGATTTATTTCTTTATTATGTATACAGTGTTCTTTTTGTCTGTGTGTACACCTGCACACCAGAGGAGGGCATGTGTGTGTGTATACATATATGTATATATGTATATATATGTACTGATTACATTGATAAAGTACAATAATTATTCTTACCGTTTACCAAGGCAACATTTATTCCTCTTCCAACGTTATTCTTAACACCACTCATTAAACTAAAGGGAAATAAGGCAAACATTAGAATTATACCGTATAATTATAAACATGTCACAGAAATAAAATTTAAAAAAAAAGAGTATTATACACATATCAAATATTCAACTTAGCAAACTGAAAAACATTTACTACAGCAAAGATGGCCTTAGGTGGAGTCAACTATGATGTCAACTCAAATAATACTTCATAAAACCAAATAATATGCCTAAAGGTATAATAGCGCTAGAAGATGGTTCAGTGGTTACAGCCATGTCCTACCATAAAGAGGACGGACATGCACGTCAGAAGGCCAGTAACCTCATCAGGGGGATCCAATGCCCTGTCAACACCTGTACTTTACTTACCCAGACACAAATGAAAATAAATTCCCTAAAATAACAGTCTCCTGGCTGACATGCCACAGTTACCACTCTGTAATACCGTGCAGCGCCATCTGAGGCATCCCTTCAGCCCACGACACCACAGGACACAATCTCTACCTTCTCAAGAAGCTAAAGAACAGATCATCTCTTCTTCATCTTCCATAGGCGCACTGTGATACCATGACATGAAATGCTATATAGACATTTTTAAATTCATTCATTCATTCAATCATTCATTCATTCATTCATTCATTACAATTTATTCACTTTGTATCCTAGCTGTAGCCCCCTCCCTTGTCTCCTCCCAGCCCCACTCTGCCTCCCTTTTTTCCTCCCATGCTCCTCCCCTAGTCCACTGATAGGGGAGGTCCTCTTCCCCTTCTATCTGACCCTAGCCTATCAGGTCTCATCAGCATTGGCTGCATCATCTTCCTCTGTGGCCTGGCAAGGCTGCACCCTCCAGGAGGAGGTGATCAAAGAGCCAGCCACTGAGTTCATGTCAGAGACAGTCCTTGTCCCCCTTACTAGGGAACCCACTTGGAAACTGAGCAGCCTATGGGCTTCCTTTAAACAGGGGGATCTAGGTCCTTGGTTGGAATAGCGGTCTTTGCAGTACCCCCTGGGCCCAGGTTTTTGGCTATGATGGTCTCCTTGTGGAGCTCCTCTCTCCAGGCTTTTCTATCTCCTTCTTCTTTCATGAGGTTTACTACTCTCTGCCCAAAGTACCTGAAGCCAGAGGGGTAGCAGAGCACTGTCATGCCCATGTCACCTCACTGTGAATATTTTCCTAGTCATTATCAACATAACCGTTCTCCGTTCTCAGAGGAAATGTTGTGCTGCTAATTATCACACCACAGCCACACACAGGCTACCGAGACAGCCAACTTCGCTGCAGCTAACCGACCATTAGCGATTCCAGATGACACTGTGAGACGGAGGGCACAGCGGCGCACTGGGTTGCCAGCAGCTCACTTTGTTTAATATGACACCAAAATTTGTAGGCAATGTTAAAAGAGTTCAAGGTATTTGCGACTTCCTCAGTAGTGTATTGAAAGAGAGGCACCGGGCAGACATAGAAGCACGCACGCATACGCACAAACACACACACACTCACACATACACTGCAAATTTCTGATAGAATGTGTGGCACATAATTGCAAATGAAATCTAAAAATACTTTGCCATATATTCCTCTTTATCAACTGGTTCTCACAGAAAGTGTCAAGTGACTTCCACAGAACTTGTATCTGTAACTGAACTACAGTTAGAGTGAATATAATTGTAACGCATACCGAGTGACATACTCATTTATGTAAATGAGAAGGACAAAGTAAAGAAAAACTGAAATAATGTTGATGCTTCATTTATTCGGTGATAAGAATGTCTCTACTAAATCAAATACATTTTCAGTACTAGCCAGTTATTTCCTCATTCTGTTTGCTGCAGTGTAGTAACTGCAAACCAAACAGGGTATTATGACATACAACGAGGTCTCGTCTACATAATTAACATTTTCTCCTCTTTTTCTGAAGACTTGGTCTTAATTCCAAAACCTACTGTGAAGCAACAGACAGTAATCACTATAATGTCTCTACAAAGGAATACACTCAAAAAACAGTGAATAAATAGAAGAAAAACTTCTTAAAATGTTATATTATCATACATTATAAATATGAATGGCTTTCATTAATTCAAATAATTTTGCATGTGGTTAGCACATACTTTAATCACACATCTTATTACCTTCCATCATCCCACACTGGCCACTCCTGCTGATCCTACCTCTTCTTCCCAAATAGTCCTCTCAAACGGAAAAAAAATAATCATAAAACTCAAAGTAAAGCAATTTGAAAGCAGAAAAAAAAAAAAAAAGCTAGAGGAATGGAAGACTTAAGGCCTCCCCTATCAGTGGCATCAGCGGGTGCAGTGAATGTAAGTAGTTCAAACATACCAAGTAAAGACAGAGGGAGAACCATGGTTGCTACAGAACCAAACTCAAAATGATGACAACAAATTCATCAGGATATAGGTAAGCAAAAGTAAAAGGGTAAGAATGACATTACGCAAACAATTAAAATGACGAAATATCAATAGTCATCAATCAATTTTAAAAACAAACCAAATGAAAATTTCTCTGTGGTGACTTTAAAAAGTGCAGGACAGTATAGCAATTAGGAAGACACATATCAAGACGTCGATGACACACAACTTCACTCCTACTTGGCACCATAGTCTCCAGGCATGTGGAGGACCCCAGACTTTATACACTGTTGGTGCAAAGGTCAACAGATGGGGTCCCTTTGGAAAACAACAGCTCCTCCAAAAGCCAGACAGCTATCTGAACCAAAAATCCCCTACAGTACAAGCACAGAGAGTGAAAACACGTCCATACAAATCCTGTATAGAAATGTTTCAGAAACACTGTTCTTGACAGTGAGAAAGTGGAAATAATTCATACACCTATTAACCTGATTCAGGGCAAAGCAAGTGAGGCATATCTATAATGGAAAATCCTTCAGTCATGGAAAGAATTAACGAATATGAGCTATAAAGTAGATGAACCTTGACAACATTATACCAAGTGAAGAAGCCAGTTACCAAAGACCACAGATGATACACCTATATAAAACATCAAAAACATGGTGACCTATAGAGACAGAAGCAAACAAAGTTATTTAGAACTTGGGTGTGGAGTGTGGAATAGAATGAAAGGGAAGGAAGAAGGAAGGAAGGAAGGAAGGAAGGAAGGAAGGAAGGAAGGAAGGAAAGAAGGAGAAAAAAGAAAGAAAGATAAAGAAAAAGAGAGAGAGAGAAAGAAAGAAAGAAAGAAAGAAAGAAAGAAAGAAAGAAAGAAAGAAAGAAAGAAAGAAAGAAAGAAAGATAGATGGGGGGGGAGCCCAAAATGACCATGGCAGAGTTGGTACATGACACTGAACCACACTACAAACCAGTGACTACTGCACGCTACAGAAGAGTATAGTGTGGGTATATAAACTACATCTCCAAGATGTTTAAAAAGAAGAATTTGTCTTCAACACACACAAAGGTGGGCCTAAGCGGAGGAGGAGCACACCTTTGACCCCAGCACTCAGGGAGGCAGGTGATCTCTGTGAGTTGGAGGCCAGCCTGGTCTACAGGGTGAGTTTCAGCTCATCCAAGGCTACAAGAGAAGCCCTGTCTTGAAAAACAAAATAGATGAACATAAGCTTCACCACAGAAGGACAACTGGCGGGGCTGCCTCAGAGGAGGGGCACGTCAGAGCATGTGGGACTCCGAGGAAGCACATTCGATGCTACCCAAAAGACCTGGTTACCACTAAGTGTTGGTTAATAATCACACACCAGTGACTTTTCAAGCAGACACCATCTTGAAAACATACTCCGTATTCCAAAAGACATAAAAGTCCATCACAGAAGAAAGGCAGCAGAATGCACAGTGCCACAGGCTTCCCACAAGGGGGCAGCAGCCTATCAAATTTTAAACAGAATTAAATTGGGAGAGTTTCCTAAGTGTGTTGAGAAAGTTTTCAGACTTATTGGTGTTATACATACAGGAAAACCTGCCATCGATGGAAAAACAAAAAACAAAACAAACAAACAAACAAACTAAAAACACAAAAGATACCCAACACACAGAGTAGTCACAGCAATTAAAATATTTACTTTATTCTTTACAACCATGAAGGCCTTCTGGCCCGCATACCTTCAGACAAAAACAAAAACAACCGAACAAAAGAACTGTAAAGGAAATGCCAGAAACACTATATACTTTCAAATACAGTTTTGCTCACATACCTGCTACCAGATCTGGCTACATTAAACATCTTGGAAGGAGCTTGCCTGAGTACTGAAAATAGTTCTGGTTCTGCAGGTGAAACCTCTACAACTCTGACAATAACAAATGTACCACAGGAAGCAAAATCAGCCCTCCCCAGACACGGCAATCCAGAGTAGTTGTCTTAACGGTGCGTTCCTGAACTCCGAGCAGGTGCAAGGATACACTCATTTTTATTATGTACTTGCACACTTGCCCTTGTAGGACAGACAAGCACAAATAAAGTCATTATGAGTAGAAACGCTGTGTCAAGCAGGTAGCACAACTAACCATGGCTCTCCCATTGTTCTTAATTCCACTGCGTGAGTCACTTTACATAGCTAGGAAACTAGTTTTTCAATACGAATGAGATTGTAACACAGTGAGAATCTGAAAGCCTTCTCGGCACACTTAGGAAACTATCTCAATCCTTTACCTGCATTACTCAGAAGTTCATGTGTGACCTGGCCCACTCACTTCTAGAACTTTCTTCCCTTATGGCCCGTAAGCATGAGCCTCCTCTCTGGGATGTTCAGAAACTTCTGGTCTACCTCTGGCTGTCTCCCGATCCCTAGGTTCTCAGACTACACTCAGTGTCTTAGAATCTATCCACAACAGTCTAAAGTGGGACCTTTCCCCTCACTGACATCTCCAGCTGGGGTCTACCTCACTCACTCCACTCGTAAGCATCTCTCATGCCCACTGCCTGCATAGGTGGGGTCCAGACTGCTTGCACTTACTTTTTAGGTACCTGTCACCCCTGCTCAACTGTACGTTACATGACACCTAGCTTTCTTGGCAACCGAATGAAAAAGCAACTAAAAGCCGGGTTTGCAATTTCGGAGGGAGGAACTTGTGACAGCTGGCTAGGCTGGAGGACAACTTCAACCATCCTGTCTGGAACACTGCAATCCGAGAGCTGCTCAGCGCAGCCCTGAACAGTGTGAGCACGGACAGGCCTGCCATGACCAGCAGGTCACTTCACACCTCAGCATGCAGCATCCAAGCGTCAAAATGAAAGAAACTGGCCTACATTCCTTGAGAGGGAAACCACACTCAATAAGCACTTAAACAGATGGAGGAATGGGTGATCCCTGGGCAAGCAGTCTCCTTATGTTAGCATCACTGAAAAGCTTCCTAAGCTTTCCATATAGAAATAAATAGAAAGAAAAGCTCTGGACTAGGAAATGTCCCCTGCGGTATCCACACTAGACATCTCTGGTCAATGGTGAAGCTCTTCTACAGAGACCAGCCTCGTAACCTGAGAGTTATAAAACTTCATCAATTGTTAATTTCTCGTGGGAATGAGAGAGTGATTCTTTCAATGCAGCTGATGAGTGGGCAGCCTCAATTTTTTGGTCAAACACTCTACAACACTGTGCAAATCCTACACGACATGCCCACCATGCTAGAACCAAAGGCTCTGGCTCTAAGCCCGGTTGGTTATACTAAGCCCTCCTGCCAACAAACATTTATCTTCTGACCTACATCACTGTGGTTGGAAAACCAGCTTTGGAAAAGTGTTTAACCTCTTCCATGCACTAAACTCCATGCTTCAAAGAGGTGGAAAAAGGAGGCAGAAGATTATCTGTTGGGTGAGGTATTCCAAAAGAAGTTTTGTCCTATTATTTAAACTCAAAAGTGCACTCTCCAGTGAAACGAAGAGGACTGTTTCTAAAGGCCTAGAAACTTCCAAAGCCCATGTACTTTGCTGTATCATTAAACAGATCCAGGATACTGAAGTCAGAAGGTAACCAACTGGTTGACAGTGGCTGCTCATTATTAGCATGGCTTAATGGGCATCAATTATTAAGAAAGTGTTGCCCCATGAGGTCAATCCTTCCTTAGTTCACTGAAAATTAATTTAAGAGCTCTATCTGAAACTCACAGGGAAAGAGCTGGGAGAACCAGCCCCATTTGCCCTGCTTAACTGTCTTCTTACTCTTCAGTCCACATAGACTAATGTCACATCCATTATTTTACCTGAATTCTAAATGCGCTCATGTCCCCAGATGAAAAAGAACTAAAAACCGGGTTTGCAACATCAGAGGCAGGAACCTGTGACAGCTGGCAAGGCAGGAGGACAACAGCCGTGTCCTAGGTAGAGCATTGCAACTCGGGAGCTGCTCAGCGCAGCCTAGAGTAGCTCAACAGGCCTGCCATGACCAGGTCACTTCAGCATGCAGCATCCAAGTATCAGAAATGAAAGACATTGCCCTAAAATGGGAAGCAGTCATTGCTCTGGGAAAAGTTGTCAATGGGACTTTACTCTGACACTACAGTTTTTAATACGGGATCTGGGGTCAAGAGCCCTGTGGAGACACTGAGCGGTTAAAATATGCCAACCATGATTGGAGAAATGTTTTTTTATTTTAATGAATTTAAATGAATTCCCCCCCCCCCCCAGTATTTCAGAGTCAAATGGAACAGCCATGTGCATCTTTACCCAAAGCCAAATGACTACAGGTCCCTCATTCACTCTCTTAATGCATAGGGAAAAGAAAAGCCATATGATGATAACGGAAATTACAGACTGTTCGTAAAAGCATCTCGGAAGCACCATGGCCCTCAGGTCCACCAGCTGTCCCTCAAGGCCTTCGTGTTCCGAGCCAGCCAGTACTCACACGTTGTCTTCCAGGCAGATCTTGGGTCCCACCACGTTGGCAGCTCCACTAGCCATTTTAAAAGCAAAATGCTTCTCTGGGCACGCTTTTGAGATCCCACATTTATACCTGGGAGGCTTCGTAGCTTGGGAAGAATAGAATTAGGTTTGAGATTTCTTAGAAAACAAATTAAAAAGATTTTACAATCAGCTTATTTTAGCCCTCAAACCATATACACAAAAACATTGAGGTATACCTCGTTAGGGCCAGCTCAGTGATTAGGAGAACCAGCTGCTTTTCCAGAGGACCCAGGTTCAATTCCCAGTACCCACTCACTCTAGTTCCCTAACTCTAGTTCCAAAGACTCAGATGCACTCTTCCAGCCTCCTTGAGCACCAGGAACACATGCAGTTCATATACATACATGTGGGCAAAACACCATGCATATAAAAAGAAATGATTAAGAAGGAGAGATACATATACTTTAAAAAATATAAACAAATAATAAAAACTTTTAAAATCTTCCAGAACGTTTTTCTCTAAGGGTATCAAAGAACCAGGAAAGGAAGGAAGGCAAAGGCCCCAAAATAAAAGGACTCAAGAACTCAATTCAGACCCTCCTGGGGAAGGAGCTAACCACCGACAGAAACAGAGCATGCTCAATGATCTAGCTGAGCAAGGCTGATGCTATTTAAATTATTCTTGAAGATACCTTTATATTTCAGGGTGCCTGAGGCTTTTGAATTGTTCTTCTGCATGTCTGGTCCCAAACTAGAATCAGTAAAAGCATGGTCCTTCCCTCCACCCAGGTACAAGCTGCAGCTGTCTCCTCTATTTGCCTATTTGCCGAAGCCCATAAGCAGAGCAAAAGCCCATTGAGAATGAGGAACCTATGATACTAGCCGGGCCAACTCAACTTCTCTCCCTGGGGACCTATTCACAAATGCCCACACAGCATGTACATAAGCTCTCGCATGGCCACACACAGGACAAAGACCTATAAAACAGCAAGGCGAGGGACTTACAACGAGTGGCTGAGTCCAGCGCGGATCGAGCTGGGGAGAGAAACAGTATCGTTAGAAAGCACGGGCCTCCTGGCCACTACCTACTTTAAACATACTAAAGCGCCTCATAAGGCTAGAAATGTGTGTTTGGATGACAGCTCACACACAGTACACAGCAACACCACTTCAGAGAAACCGTATCTTTCTACCATGTAGTTCATTATAGACAAGTGTGTGCTGAAATCATGGACAGTGATGTTTTATTACCGAAACATCATTTTAAACTTTATAGGTTGTTTAATTACTTACCACAAACTTCAGTTCTACCCAGAAAGTTAGTCTGAAAACATTCATTTACAATCTATAGACTTTTGTCAGTGTGTGTTGGTAAATTGAAATGCTGCTGTTCCTGCCAGGGACCCACAGTCCTGAAGAATGCATATAAACCTAATTGGGGGTTGGAGAGGATTTGGGAGTACAAGAAGAAGGGAGGGTGAACATTGGGAAAACCTTAGCTTCAGCAGAAAAGAACTGTATTTGGCATAATAAAATTAGTGCTGCTACTGAGAGTTTCTTGGTTCATCAGTTCAAGAAAGGACATAGGTCAACTCTTAACACCCACGGTGGGTCTCAACTCTCCTCCATGACAGTTACACTTAGTACTCTGAAAAGCCCCAGTGTCTGATCCTAGTCCAGGAAATCTTAACACAGATCATCAAAGTACTGTGGACAGCAGGTTCCTGATTTGGCTAATAAGTACACAGTAAGATAAATGTTGGCCAGCTGTCTAACTATAAATAGTCACTCAGCTTTAACTTCTGTACTATTTTGATAACTGTGAATTTCCTGTAAGTCTATTATTCAAATTATGGAACAGAAAGTTGAAGCTGAGAGACAGTATGTAGATTTTAAAGAGAGGAGACCAGGTCAACAGTTCCAGCACTCAGTAGAACACTTAGTAAAACATTATATACCATTAAAGTCACACAGCTATAATGTGGGGAAAGGAGAATGCACGGAACACAGCAAAACTGCGCCACTCCAGAACCTAAACACAGAAATGATTCTTATGAAGGAGAGCCTTGAACAAGCATATAACAAAACAGAAAGGGGGAGAAGAGGGGGCGGTGGGGACCATAAATTCAAGTGCTGGGGTTTCCTTAGCTCATTCATTCCATTTCCTTGTGTAATTACAGAGCCTTGGCCCAATGTTTTCACTTTTTTAAATGAGAAAACTGAAGCCCAGAACAGAATCAGCAATATGAAGACCAAAAATTCTTAACTTTGGTCTGTCTTTAAAAAGAAAAGGGAGGCGATACCTCGGTGAGTAGGTGGGGATTTAACACCAAGCCTGCTGGTCCCCAGGACCCAGACGCTGCCAGGAGAGAACTGACTCTCTCAGGTTGTCCTCTGACCATTCATGTGCCGTGGCACCTATGTACATACACTCATATACACATACAACACCCACACTAATAACTGCAATTAAGAAAAAAATGCAATCAAGAAAAAACAATTAGCCGGGCAACGGCAACACTTGCCTTTAATCCCAGCACTCAGGAGGTACAGACAGGCAGATCTCTGAGTCAAGGTCAGCCTGTTCTACAGAGCAAGTTCCAGGACAGCCACGGCTACACAGAGAAACCTCGACTCAGAAAACAAAACAAACAAAACTTAATGGTAGAATGAATGAATGAAGGAAGGAAGGAATGAAAGAATGAAAACAGTGTATCATCAGTTAAAATCAGGAACTTTGGTCTCCCTGACCTGTGCAGGGCTGATTAGATAGTGGATGGTCTGATCTGTGATAATGAGGACAGTGGGATCTGAGCAGGGCTAGAAAAGCACCACTTATTCCTCTACGCTGGCTCTGTCAAGTACTTCTCGATGGTCATCCCAAACACGAACCATTCAAACATAGTCATCCCATTTCAGAGACAAGAAAACCGAGGACAGACCCTCTAACTGGTGTTTGTTTAAGTCATAACTAACTGGTGGAGCTAGCTTTTATTTGTTAGTTTATTTTAAATCTTTCTCTGCACTTACTTACGTGTATGCATATGTGTATATGTGTGCGTACACGCATGCCCAGGGACACATGTGGAGATCTCAGAGGACCATTTCCAGGACTCAGCTCTCTCCTTCTACCCTGTGGGTCCTAGGCATTGAACTCAAGTGGTCAGGCTTGATGACAAGCGTATTTACCTGCTGAGCCACCCTGCCAGTCCAGAGTTGGCTTTTAAAACCGTCTCAGGTAGCACGCAGGCCCGCTGTACCACTTCTACAGGGTGAATACGTAAAGAGAAAGCACCAGTCATTCCCGGAGCAGAAAGCCCAGGCTAGGGACCTTTTACCATAACCCTCTGGCTGGAGAGGCTCCAGTCTGAGTCTATCCACAAACACCCTGCTGAGGAAATCTGGGCGGGGGGGGGGGGTGTGTGCTAGTTCTGGGGGAAGAACATATGAGAAGTGTTGAGGGGTTTTTGTCTGTTTGTTTGTTTTGTTTTTTAAGTAGACAGACTCAGAGATACTGAGGAAAGAAGACAGGCCGGGCTCAGACTCAGAAATGGAGCAGTTGCTGGGATGGTACAAAGGAAGGAGCGTCTGCGGTGGGTCGGATGCTTGTACTTAGATGCTAATAACGGGTTCTCAAGATCTGGTTACTGCCTGGATACACCTAGCCTTCTCGTGTAAACCTACCTGATTGGCTGATTAAACAGCCTGGGCAGGGCAGAATGGGGTAGGTGTGGCTAAGGTTTCCAGGCTTTCAGTTCAAGAGAATCAGGGGAAACAGACTGGACAGGAAGAGAGGAGGCAGGAGAAGGCTATAATGCATTAGCATGGAGAAGGAACTATGTGGGCCATGATGGTGTGGATGAAGAAAACATCAAGATGAAAATTATAAGCAAGTATTTGTAGGATTATGGATGGAAGGTAGCCCAGATAGGGAGGGTTAAGGAGGCTGGCATTGAATGGGAGCTGGGAGGTGGATGGTGAGGCTATTGAGATAGCATAGATGGAATTATTTGCCCAGCCCAAGGGTGTTTTAAGGCAATTATAACATCTAACAGGTGTCTGTGTTTTATTTGATTGTGAAAGTGGGTTAAATAATAGTGCCATGATAACCTCAGGGCAAATAATAGATACTATACAGCCCAACACTCTTTTTATTTACAACAAAGGAGTCAAAGACACTGGCTTGGCTCTACAGGTATTTCTACGTTCATTCACACAAAGAGATGATCAAAACACTTTACCTGTATTCAAGACCGTTATAACCATGTAAGGAAATGTGTGTGTGTGTGTGTGCGTGCGTGTGTGTGTGTGTGTGTGTGTGTGTGTGTGTGTATGTGTATCACCAGTGATAGGCTCTATCTACCGTGTTTTAAGATACTTGTTGAGGACCTAAGAGGAACAATATGGAGGCCAGCTAGAAACAGGAGCTGGGATTAAGACAGAAACTGGAAAACAGCAAACAGATACAGACATCCAGAGAGAACAGAATCCTAGGACATCAACTATCAAGTAACAATCAAAGAAGACGACACTTAGGAGCCTCGAATGGTGAACAGCGAGAAGGAAAGGGTGAATGACTAAAAAATGATGAAATCAGGATTGGAGAGTTTGCTCAGTTAAGAACACTTGTTATTGTAAAAGAAGGACCCGAGTTCGATTCCCAGCACCCACATGGAGGCCCACTAGCTCCTTGGCATGAAGTGCAAATGTGGTGCACAGACATACAGGCAGGCAAAACACTCATACACATAAAACAGTAAAAATAAGTGTAAAAAAATGAAAAAGAGCAAATCAGTTTGCTTGTTGAATTTCAGATGTCAAGCCTGTAATTGCTACTTAATTAAAAGCAGTTTCATGGAAATCACTTCATTAGTCATCAAGTTTTTGGGTATCTCCAAGGGACTTGTGTTAGCTGATAAGATGCTTGAAGGTAAAGAAACTCTCCCGAAGCACTTTTTACAAAGGAGAGTTATTTTTATCCAATATCCACCAAAACTAAAAGATTTCCCCGAGGCCTGCAACTATGAGAATGTGAGACCCTGGAGACAAGCAGATGAACTGTTTTTCATCAACACGGGGCATCGCTAAAGTATCACGCACAGCACAAACATAACTGCCCCTCCTCACCTGCAGGCTCTGCGTCTGACTTCACTTGATACCCATAATCTCTCATTTCTCTCAGACAACACGTCCAGGAATGGACACAAGCCTGTCCAATTCATCAGACTTCCATGAATGCCTTTTCAATTAAGTCAGACTAGAGGATTAGAACTGCTTTGTACCTGAGTTTTTAATTCTAGCTCAAGTAATCTATGCATCTACTACTTCCCAGTGGCTTAACTATGGAAGGGTAGAAACAGCCAGGTCCAGGCCATTCACCGCAGCAGTATCTGTAGAGATGATCTGGACGTCGTTCAGTTCTGTACTTGCTGAATGCCCATGCAGGAAACTAACAGTGCATTGAATCACAGCCCGGGCAGGACTGCCAGGCTGTGTTCAGGACCATGTCTTGTCTGTGACACTTTACAGTTCCTACGAGGTTCCTACAGGGGGAACTAAGTCAAGAGTATCCAGCGCCTCTGGGTACTGTTTGTGACAAACAGAGGGTGACACTATAATTTCTTCAGTTTTAAGTCTTGTTTAGAAAATTGCCACGATGTGCTTGGGGGCGGGGTGTGTTGGGCACTGAAGCTAGGTCATGTTAAGCCAGGTATGTCTAGCACCCTACCACTGCGCCACATCCTCCTGCTAAAACACCGTGTTTAGGGGTTCAGAACTCTAGTTGTTGTAGCCCTTTCCTTTCTGCCTTCTAGATTTTATTCCACTGTTTCAGATCACAGCCTATCTTGGTACTTTCAATATTAACCGTGGACAAATTTTTCACTCTTCCTGTCCGGAAATGTCTGTTTTCTTTTTCTAAAGCAATACAATGTAAAAATCCCGAGTCAATGAGCTGAGTTTAGTGGTGCACACCTTTAATCCCAGCACTCGGGAGGCAGATCTCTGATTTTGAGGTTAGCCTGGTTTACAGAGTGAGTTCCAGGACAGCCGGAACTACACAGAGAAACCATGTCTCAAAAGATTAACAAACAAAAAAGCCTGAGCCAAAATGATCTGTTCAGCCGTGGATCTCTGATTCGTATGCCTTCTCTTGGGCTTTTTCCCTTTTCAGAGTTTGTTTTGTCCAACTTCAATGTGATGGTTTTTGTTTCATCTTACTATATATATATATATTTTTTGGCATGTTTGATGCCATCTCTTAGAAGCCTGTTTTTCTCTAATGAGAGACAGAGAGGGAGTAGGTGGATCTGGCTGGGGGTGGTGGGGAGGAACCAGGAGGAACAGAGGAAGACAAAACTGTAATGGAGATACATTATGTAAGAAGAGAATATATTTCCAATAAAAAAGGAAAAAATTATCTGTTCAAGCTACTACGTTATTACAAAGGAAGTTGAAAGAAAACTCACCAGCGCATGAACTGTAATTAACTCTGTGGGTAATTAGAAACCAGGGTCCTGAAACCAACCTAGGCGCATGCAAATCTGATGACCTTTGCTAAATTAAGCTGGATGGTAAACAAGCGGTTAAGAGAACTAACATATTCTAAACAAGAAATGAAACAAGCCCCACAATTCATATCTGCACCAGTTCAATCTAGAGTGAAATCCAATAAATAACATTTTATAGATAAAATGCACTACAGTTAGAAGATTAAAACAAAACACTTGCCCTCCAACAGTGCCTAAATCTAACAGGTGGAACACAGGTAACCAAAAGGTTTATGTCTAAAAGTTCAGGGATGCTACGGTAGAGGGAACAGAGAGCATTTAAAGCTGTGGGGAGAAGTACTGCAGGCTAGGCCTAACGTGGCTGTAGCACGGAAGAAATCACACCGGCCGTGATTAACTACGCAAGGCTGAACCGGCCCACATTCCACCCTGGGTGGGGAGGAAAGGCGAGACACCACACCTCTCCGAGCAGCCACTGGGACTGAACTGGTGCAGTGGGAGGGAGAGCCATTTCCTCCAGTGGTGGGGCCACTGCCGAGGTACCCAGGTTTGGCAGACGACCCCGAACCCATGCTCCTGTGAGCAAGCCTAAACGGAACAAGACGCAAAACAACAAAAACAAAAGGCATGAAACTTACCAAATAGATTTCCTAAGCTTGCATCCATTTTAATTTCAAATACTTGAGAAATAACATAAAACGTCAGTAAAAACACTGCCACAGCCACCACCAACTTTGCAGCTCCTGGGGGAAAAAAAAAAGCAGGAATAACTCAGCATGCTTTTATAAGCCAAAAGAACTTCTGATATACAAACGCCACATTTCTATGGAAACAGTAAGACCAACGCAGTTCTATGTTGGGATGGACAAGACGGTAATGTCCCTGGATTTATAACGAGTAGGCCCACCAAGTTAAGGATTGTTCTCCCAATCAAAGAACTCTCAGATGCAAGGTGACTTGAGATGCTTGTCCAGGCTGCTTTGGGGAGGGTAGGGAGGTACCTACCATCAGCTGCTGGCTGACTACAGGTGCCCTGGTGAAAGGAACACCTCAACTGTGCCTGCAGGACTACATGCTCCTAATCCTTGCCAATCCTAAAGAGCAGTGCCTGCCAGGGAGGACACAAAACACCAGATCTTCTGGGGAGGCCAAGACCAGGACATCTAGGAAGTGGGGAGCTGAAGAGAAATGTACTATACTATCAGCAACCCATTTCCTGGAGCCACATGAGCCCACAGGGACTGCAAACACCACCTAGTTTAAGACAGGGCATTTCTCCTGCAGAACAGGCTTGGACATCACAAACACTGGCTATGTGAAAAGCTCCAGAGGGCACCCGCCTCGACTTTAGACTTTGTGTCTTTATGGTACCTTACAATAGTCGTCACTGCCACACCTGCTTACTATGAATCATCTCTTACTCCTTGCTACCCCAATCTAGGAATCAAATCACAAAGCACAAGGTAGGAAAGGGCCAATAGCAGAACAACAACTTCTCCATCTACCTCTGGATTTCAGCGTGTTTACTCGGAAACAGTATTAGCTTATTTGTGTCTACACAATCTCATCTGGAGGGTTTGATCTCTACTGAGAGTAAAGGTAAAGAGGTTGACAAAATCTACAGTCATCTAACCTTAAAGAGAAAAAAATCCCAGTGATGAATCAGTGCCCTAAGATTACAGATAAGTCAGTGGGTGGATGTGGGCCAGAACTCAAGCCTCCCCCCAAAAAACCTGGAGATCTCCAGAGTACCCCATTCTAACACTAAATGACAAATTCTTCTTCTGCCAAACTCAACATAAGAAATATATATATATATATATATATATATTAAAGTTCATCTAATCTCTCATGTCATTGACCCAAAAGAATAGTCTAGATCCTTAGAGGGGAGGGGCGGGGAGGAATTGAAGATGTTTGGAAAGGGGGCTGTCGCTGAAAGCCATCCACAACCAGAGCCCCCTCAGTGCTATTTAAAGATGCTCTATTCACAGCTAGGGGATACAAGAAAAATCTCTGTACCTTCCTCCCAAGTTGGCTATGAATCTAAAACTTCTCTGAAAAACAAAGCCTTAAAAATTTTTTTCTATTAACACAGGAATGAAGTGGCAATGAGTCCACCAACTGCCTAATCCTTCTCACCTCCCCCTCCTCACTTCTCCCCTCCACAGGCTGCTTCCTGTTTTTTTGGAGCAACTACTGACTGCCTACATTTTACCCTGTAAGAGAGTAAAATTCCATTTGGTTTGGACCACCTTCTCCCAGGATTTCATACAACGCATGCGCACAACACATACATACGCTCAATAGATGAATGCTAGCAGGTGGCACACGCCGTTTTTATCAAGATAGAGACCAGTGGCTTGATCGTGACAGATCACGTTAGTCTTCTACTTCATTTTCTAGCAGTCATAGCCACACATAATAGGGATAAGCCCTCACTGTCTCCAAAAGTAGATGAATGAAACCTGCAGTGTGCAAGGCCAAACTTGCTTTTAGGGTCACATCAGTGGCAGCCTTTCAAAGATTTACTTATTTGACTTTACACATCACTGTTTTGGCCTGTGTGTACACATGTGTATGCCTGGTGCCCGTGGAAGTCAGAAGTGGGTGTCAGATGGTTGAGTCACCGTGCGGGTGCTAGGAACTCAGCCTGGGTCCTCTGCAGCAAGAGCGTTGCTCTTACCCACTCTGAGTCTCTCAGAAGGACCTGCTCACTCACTGGTCTAGAACAAGGAAGAACCAGACGCTCCAAGAAACAGACAAGTTAGCAGCACAGACCACAGCGGTAGAGTGGAGCTTCCTACAGAGCGTGGTCTCTAGGGCTGGTCCCAACGTCCAATGCCGAACTCGGAAGGGACTTAGAATATCACAACCACAACGGCCATTCCCCACTAGGTGTGTCATTCGCTCTTCCTTCCAGCCACTGACAGCAGTGCCTTGGGTCTGATCTCACATTTATAAACCAAGGATCATTACACTCCAGGCTATGTGAGCCTTTCAGAGCAACCAGAAACTATTTTCATTTAGAAGATCTTCATTAGTTCAGAGCCGTGAACTCAGAACTAACAGTCCTTACTCATCCATCAAAAGCAGGGGCCCCAAGAACTATGCCAAGAAAAGCACAAACATAAAAACTAGATGATGAAATTCATTTCACTGAGAATAAATTTAGGATTGTGTGCAAAATAAGAACGTTCTCTGATCACCACATTTAAACAGCGTATTTAAAAATCCACAGGGGACCACAGCTATGGATCGTCCTGCTGAACCCAAGAACATACAGAAACAAAAAGAAAACAAACAAAGTAAGAGGCTACATGTCTTTAAAAACACAAACAAGCTCTTGGTTTCTGAAACCTTCTTCCTCCACAAGTGTTTAACTACTTCAAAATGATGTTTTGTAACTTCACAGCACAGAGAATCCAATTTTTCAAATTTCTACTAAAGCATGTGTAGCAACCTCCAGTTAACTTGGTTCAGTAATCGTGGTGTTTGATCAACTCCACTTGATTCTATGCAACTATAAGCAAACTATGAAAAGCTGCTTGTCCACCCGCCTCAGCTCCTGGCATCTCTGAGAGACGACTCTAGGAAAATACTTGGTTTGCTTGTAAGAAAATGACAATTATGAATGATTATCTTGAGTGGAAAAACAACCTGTTTTCTCCTGTTACACAGACTTAGCAGAATTCCTCAGAGCAAGGCTCCTTTGGTGTTGTGGGAGGGTTGTGGCTAGAGGCAGTCTAGCAGAAACAAATTTATTTTCACTTTTATGTAGGGAAAGGCCAGTTGGGTACTTATGGATCTACCCTTCAAAAATGCTTACTAATATCTATGTTAATTCTATGGACTTTACAAGGATTTTCAATGTATATAACACGTTACTTCAGATTGCTCTTAATGCTCTGGATTTGTACCTAGACTAATAATTCAAAGCAAAAACACATTTTCTGTAAATTCTTCATGTATATTACACTCAACTGCACATAGGAGAAAGTTTTATCTTAGAATTCCTTTTTACTTAGTTGCTAGAACTTAGAAAGAAAAGGTCAGTCTCTGCATTTTCCAAATTATTCTTTGAATATATGTACTACTTGGCAAATATGTTTACCCCATAAAATAAAGATTAATATTTGCCGTAATTTCAATATAAGTTTCATCTACAAAAACATGTAATAATGAACACATGTAAGAATTACCTAATGAACAGGTGGTAATTTGCTGACTATGTAAAATGGAAAGGCTAAGCACGATTTAGTTTATTTTAGCCTGGTACTTAACTTTCAGAAGCATTATAGGTACAATGGCACAAGTATATAACCTCTGAGGCTGGAAGACAGCTTGAAACCAGCTTGGTCTAGGAACCAAGATCCACCACAAAAGGAAGTTGGAGAAGGAATATGAAGATGAAGAAGAATTAATCAATTATGCACCCTTTCCTTTAGCCATTATTGATCAAAGAGGTTATAAAAAATATAAAATAAAAAAAATCATTTTCATTGGATTAAATAAATATCTTACCTGCTACCCTCATTTTTCCTTTTTCAGTCTATGGCACGTCTCCTCAGAAACAAGGTCCTAAAATCAAAAGAAAAGACCAACACCATGAATTATACTATAAGGATATTCTTCCTTAGATTGAGTTTAATTTAGAAGACATACATAAAACCAATTAAGTAAATACCATGACATTTCTAAGTTTTCTATGAAGAGCATTCTTTAATGAAAAACTCTTTATCATTGATCACTCCTTGCAAGCGTCTCCCAATAGCTGTGTCCTTTGCTCCTCTGAATGAATAAGCAAGGGCACGTGCCCTCATACTTGTGCCTACAGAGGATGGCTATCGCCCGCCGTGAATACGCATCCATGAGGAACTCCCAACATTCAGATTCAAATACAGCTTCGTACATCCTGTCAACACGCTCTTTACGAATAACAGGAACCATCGGTAGAAATGGCGTTTAGACAGGCCAGTTCATGCCAGCACACACCGAGTAAGAGCCAAAGGTAACCTGTATCGCCCAGTTGCCCAAGGACTGGTAACTTCCTGGAACGGTGGAGGTTATGGTTCTTGGGAAATAACAAGCCACGTGCTTTTGCACCCCGAAACAAGTTTGTTTGCACTAGAAATGCCTGATTGGATGTCAGGGGATGGGAGGTGTGTGGACCCAGACAGGAAATATGTCAGGATGTATGTTCGCCCCTGATTGGACCTGATGGGAAATATGGTGGCCTTGTAGTTTTATCTTTTTAAGCTTCTGAAAAATGTAACCATTTTCTGGGAACCCAGGAATGGACTTGGCCACAGTCCACTCTGCTGGCCACTATTCTTGCTTCAAATTTGGCTCAGAATCGTGGCAGTGGTCTTATTCTCAGATTAACAGAAGCCACTTCGTTTTTCATGATTTGAGTATCACTGTTGTAAGCATTCGCAGCAAACACTGGCTCTAATACCAAATCCTCTTTATGCTTTTCCATTCCCATAGGCAAAACAACAGATCTAGAAGTTTAGAATTATAATTTTAAGTACATCAGCAATTATCATTACTGACAGAATGATATACATCAAACAAAGAAACTATTCTTTGATATTATTTTAACAACGTGTGTGTGTGTGTGTGTGCGTGTGTGTGTGTGTGTGTGTGTGTTTGCTTTTCCTTCCTACAACACAACTCAAAATACAGCTAGATACTGCTTCAGCCAATATTTTGTAAAGGAACAGAATTCAAAAGGTAAGTTTTGAGTAATGGATCCTATTAGTCAGAAATATATTATTTCTCTGATGTCTTGCACATGTACTGTGGCACACAGGTCCCCAAACACAAGCATGCACACACCTACTGATTTAATAATTCAGATAGCTCATCTACCCCCGCCTCAAAAAACAAAACAAAACAAAACAAAAAGCAGACGTTTCCCAGAAGAACACTGAAAAGACTATTATCCACTTTTCCTATTCACTGAGAAAAGCAATAGGGTGGGAAGCCTGCATGGCTCCCAACCTCACCAGTCTTAGCTGGCTCCCGTTCTTCTGCACATCTAACCTGAAGAAAAAACATCAACACTTAACTGAGTTGTTGGCTATTGTTATTTTTTTCCTTTGTTATCTATGTGAATGCCTTCTATAGAATAGCCAAAGTCAATGCTATCTATTTAAAGTCCTTAGCCACCAGCTAGAATTCTCGAAGGAAAGAAGAGATACTCAAGTATCCACAAGACTTCACATTTAAAAAAGAAATAAATAAATAAGGACCTCAGCTTCTCAACAGGTCATGAATCTTCTTTTGGCTTCCAGTGAAATTGAACTCTGCGTTCACAACACATGGCTTTCCCTGCCCTCTCATATGCCAAAGTAATGTCACTCCTATCTGAATGTGGCCTAGAAAATTTTTCTCAAAAATGTGAAAAGTATCTGGGTACCAGACATCTGTGGTTCTATTTCAGCTTCCCTTGCTGGGCCTGGGGAGGAGGGGAGAGAGAAGGGACCACACCTGGATAATCTGTATAATTATGCTACCAGCCTCCTGCTTGCTCTTCCCAGCGATTCTGCTTCTAAACTCACCACTCTATAAGCAACTAACTACATTTCTGAACACAATTGTTTTCCACCTAAATATCTTAGGGAATTGACATTTAAAAGAATTTCTATATTAAAATCTCATCAAAGTGCCTCAGTCATTAACACATTTTTAATTAATTTCCTTAATTAACTTTCTTGCACCTTTAATGATGCAAAAGTGTAAATCCTCAGAACAGGAGCACTGAAATAGCTGTAAGAGCAGAGTATGGTGAGTGTTTGTGATGTGCTAGTTCAAACTGTGCCTGGCTGTTTAAAGAGCATTTGAAGACGTATGAAAGTCAGAGGTGTGTCATGAAGACTTCTGGCAATCAAGAGAGAGGTCCACAGACAATAGACACACACAGAGGAATAAAAGACCTTGGCTAAAAACTCAGAATGCTACTCTCGAGGCAGCAACTCAAAAGTACACAAATTTTCTACGTACTCAGTAAAAGGTAGAGATACAGAAATTAGAACTAGTTTCTAAAATCAGAACATTAGTAATTAAGAGCGTATCCTTAGAACAGATAAAAGCGCAAATATTCCCCAAAACTTGGGAGGACGAGGTAGGTGGAGCTCCGAGTTCAGGGCCAGCCTGGTCCACAAAGCAAGTTCCAGGACCCCCTTCCCCCCCCAAAAAAGTAAATATTCAAGACAAGTTACCTAGGGAATTCACTGCTCCAAAAGTGAAGGGATAGACCAAAACAAGTTCCAGTGTTTTGTATAGTCTCCAGATGCCACATGGAGAGTGCAATGTCCCCTGAAAGTAAAGCAGGGAAGGCCACACTGCCCCCTGGGTGAAGGAACACGGCCCTGAAGGTATACTCAGTCTGTGACCTGGAGCAAAGAAGCGGGCCTAAGGCCAGTTCGCTGGATGTTTTAATTTAAACATTTCCTTTAGCCCAGTACCTAGATTAGTCCCGTTTAATAATATCTCTTTACTGAGAATTGGGATCCTACATAAGGAGGACCTGCCTAAAATTCACTAAGATACAGCGCAACGGTAATAAAAGCACAGGCCCAATGACACTCCCATTCCTTCCTGGAGAAATGAAGTCTAAATTACAACAGTGTTCTGTATCAAAGAAACAAGCCATAAAAACAATTACCAGGAGAGGCCTGTCTTGCCAGGTAATCCTCCCACCAACCCTCTGGCTGCCCTAGGTGTTGTGATGGCCTTATAGATGAGGACAAGGGGATCTTGGGAAGAGCACAGAGGGTGCTTGCAAACAGACCCCATCCCATTGCTCTCCCTGCACACTGATGTACTCAACGATAAGATCTTGTTGCTAACATGCCATGTCAATCAATTGACTACGTGCTATGCCAAGCGGAGCTTATGCCAGCTGCTTTGGGAAACTGCTAATCTCTGTTGCAAACTAGCCCTTCCAGGGGTAACACTCAAACTGACATATGTTTGAGTGTAGTCTTAGAAACCACACTACCACCTCAAGGCAAAAACGATGCAAAAAATATGCATACAAATAAATACAGTAGCATAATACTAAAAGAAAAAAAAATTAATCCAGCCAAAAGAAAATATTGCTAATTACATTTCACAAACTAGAGAACCACCATCCACTTTAATCCAACCCTAATTCAGCGCTGCCCAAATAACAGTTTTAACCAAACGAATTGAATTCTGATGATTCCAATATTCAAGTGCAAGGGGTCTTTTGTTATCTATTTGTTGTGTCATGTGTATGCTCTCCATGTTCGTCTGAGCACCTCGTGCTGACGGTGCCCACGTGGTTCAGAAGAGGTCTGCCAGATCCCCTGGAACTGGAGCTACACCAGGTCGTGAGCTGCCATGTGGGTGCTGGGAATTGTACCCAGTTCCTCTATCAGAACAAGTACTCTTAACCTCTGGGCTGGCTTTCCATCCCCTGGGGAGCTGGAACTTTCCAAGACACTACATAAAAACATGTTAAACTATAAAACAGTAGATGTAGGCTACACTGAAGTCCTGTCTGTGACAGTGAATTCCATGTGCCAACCTGACGGGGCCACAGGCTACCTCTAAGTCAACACCATTCTGGGTGTGCCTGGAAGGACCTTTCTGCATGACAAGCATCTGTACCTACACTGAGGAATGCAAAGCGCCTTCCTCATTAGGACTCCAATCCCGACCTGACGACAAGGGTGCGTAACGGGGATGTGCTGGTTTGCATCTTCCTATACAAGTGGGTTTCCATCCGTCGTTTCTGGCCTCAAACTCCTTCCCGCAAGTAGGGATGTAAGACTTACCTAGCTATCTGTTATCTTAGACTATGATTTTTCTTCCTTCTTGCAAGACATAGGCACCTAATCTACCTTTCTGCGTTGACGCTAACCACAGAGAACCTTTCGGTGCAGCTTTGTCTAACAGATCATAAGACCCTCCTCGGTCCTAAGGACTGTGGCAGAGACAAGATGAATTGCTGGGGTTTCCTATTTCAGCCTGCTAACACTAGTTCATTTCCTTTTTGTCCAACCACATTTCAACACGGTTGCCCATGTTTCAGTCATGCCTGCGTAATGAAGTCTCACAAACTCCCACAGGACAGGGCCCAGAAGGCTTCCTCACAGCAGAATGTGAAGGTTCCTGGGGAGTGGTACAGTTAGGTAGGGCAGGGGAACTCGGTCCTCCTTCCCACACCACAACTTCTGCTTCCCCGTACCAGTGTCATTTGTAATTCTAATGCAGTGAATGCTAAGCATAAACCATTCAAATTCCCTGAGCCTCAGGAAGGGCTTGTGGGGCCCCCAGTTCATAGCTAGGCCAGCAGACCCGAACCAACAAAAACAACAAGCTGCAGTACCATACAACACAATACATGTGACTACTCCAGGCAAAAGCCCAGAAACTTTCTGTATGAAAGGGTCAGACCAAAAATATGCTCTGGCTTTAAGGACCATAATTTCTACCTCCACTGTACGCCCACAGCTACCTGGAACAAAGATGGATGTTCCAACTGCAAGGCAGTTTTTGGAGTTTGCTCTTGCTGTTGAGACAGGGACTTACTTGTCCTGGCTGGC